TCAGTCTGTGGCACTGCTCAGGTGTTATGATAGCCCAGGTTGCTCTAATAGTGGCTTTTAGCTCTTCTGAATTGTTGGGTCTGGTGTATTGAATCTTCTTCTTCACAATACCCCATAGATTTTCTATGGAGTTAAGGTCAGGAGAGTTTGCTGGCCAATTAAGAACAGGGATACCATGGTCCTTCAACCAGGTACTGGTAGCTTTGGCACTGTGTGCAGGTGCCAAGTCCTGTTGGAAAATGAAATCTGCATCTCCAAAAAGTTGGTCAGCTGCAGGAAGCATGAAGTGCTCTAAAACTTCCTGGTATGTGGCTGCGTTGACCCTGGACCTCAGAAAACACAATGGACCAACACCAGCAGATGACATGGCACCCCAAACCATCACTGACTGTGGAAACTTTACACTGGACTTCAAGCAACGTGGATGAAGTGCCTCTCTTCTTTTCCTCCAGACTCTGGGACCTTGATTTCCAAAGGAAATGCAAAATTTACTTTCATCAGAGAACATGACTTTGGACCACTCACCAGCAGTCCAGTCCTGTTTCTCTTTAGCCCAGGCAAGACGCTTCTGACGCTGTCTGTGGTTCAAGAGTGGCTTGACACAAGGAATGCGACAGCAGAAACCCATGTCTTTCATACGTCTGTGTGTGGTGGTTCTTGAAGCACTCACTCCAGCTGCAGTCCACTCTTTGTGAATCTCCCCCACATTTTTGAATGGGTTTTGTTTCACAATCCTATCCAGGGTGCGGTTATCTCTCTTGCTTGTACACTTTTTTCGACCACATCTTTTCCTTCCCTTCGCCTCTCTATTAATGTGCTTGGACACTGAGCTCTGTGAACAGCCAGCCTCTTTAGCGATGACCTTTTGTGTCTTGCCCTCCTTGTGCAAGGTGTCGATGGTCGTCTTTTGGACAACTGTCAAGTCAGCAGTCTTCCCCATGATTGTGTAGCCTATAGAACTAGACTGAAAGACCATTTAAAGGCTTTTGCAGGTGGTTTGAGTTAATTAGCTGATTAGAGTGTGGCACCAGGGGCCATCAATTTTGAACCTTTTCACAATATTCTAATTTTCTGATATGATGAATTTGAGATTTTCATTTGTTGTCATTTGTAATCATCAAAATTAAACAAAATAAACATCTGAAATATATGAGTTTGTATGTAATGTATGAATATAATATACAAGTTTCACTTTTTAAATGGAATTACTGAAATCAATCTACTTTTTCATGATATTCTAATTTTATGACCAGCACCTGGAAGATCTGGATGTGATTTTTTAAGAAATGCAGAGATTGACCTTTAAAGATGAAAAAAGCCATCTTTTCTTATTACCTTGCATCACACTGGAAAAAATCTAAATCTTTTCTTAAAATAAATGCATTTGTTCTTGCAGGGTTCCCGCGGGTCCTTAAAAAGTCTTAAAAGGCATTGAATTCTTCAAAATAAAACTAAGGCCTTAATTGGTATTAAAATGTCTTAAATCAGTCTTTCGTAGGTCTTAATTTTTAAAACATCATAAATAGGATACTTTTTATTATGATTTATTTTTGTGATCTAAGTAAAACATTAAAATTGACCTTTTGTTTTTACAAAAGGTCAATTTTATTAATTGAGTTAATTGAGTTAAATAACTGCATACAATTATTGGTTCCGTCCCGATAGCGGAACCAATAAAAGCGTTGAGATGCGCCATTCACTTTTTGTCTGGAAAATATGAGCAAGTGTAAATGTAACGATAATTGTCTCCAGCCAAGAGTTTTCTCCATGGCTAAAACCAGGGAACATGCATGAGGCTCAGTGGATTTAGTGCAAGAAGTCATTCAAGCTCAGAACGATGGGAATTAAGGCAGTGGAGTCACACATGCGAACCACGAAACACAAAGCGTCAAAATGGAGTTACAGAGAAACATGCCGTATTTCTCAGTTTTGTTCCACCCTTGTCTCTGCAACGCCTCCACTTATCACCAAATCAAACATACTAAGAAAACAATACAAAGAAAAATAGCTGCAAAAAAGACTTAGCACTGGTTATGTTGCGGCTTTAAAACTGATTTGTTTTGTTCCCTGCTAAAACAAAGTTTGTGAATTCAGTTAAATAATTGTTCAAATATATCTGTCATTTGTGTGTTTTTAGCTTTCTTCCTGTATGGGAAGCTTTTCAAAATTTTAGACATTAGTGCAGTGGTTTATGTTAAAATAAACCTTTGGGTTAATTTGTCGCAAGCGGGTTTTTCTTGTGTTTCTTGTAAATTTGGTCTTAAATTTTTATTTCAAGTGGCATTAAAAAGTCTTAAAAAGTCTTGAATTTAACTTGCCTTATGCTGTAGGAACCCTGTCTTGGATTGAGGAGGTAAAAGAGCAATTTTTCCAATAGAACAAGACAATTTACATTTAAAATAAGAAAACTCAATTGTCTTATTTCAAGTGCACGTTATCTAATTATTTTAAGAGTAAAAATACTCATTCCTTTTGCAAACTATCTCATTTACCTACTCAAATTAAGAATAAATACACTTAATTTAAGAAGTTTGTTATTTTTAGATTGTTTTTCCAGTGCATTAATGTTATATTATTTGTCAGTTCTCTTACCAACCTCTAGATAACGGCTGTTTTAGCGGCGTGTCCTTGCCTCCGTCCAGAGGGAACCACCGGCTCAGCCGAAGTGTCTAACTTAGACTAAGATTACATTAATCAGTAGAGAGCATGACCTTACAAGTGACAGATTAAGTGTCAGGAATAAAACTCTGTCTTGCTGCAAAGAAAGAGATGAACCGAGCAGCTGCCTAAGGAGATTACTGGCCTTGACCTTTATTTGAAGCTGTGGGTCTGGCTGTTCCCAACACAGACGAGTTTTATAAGTTTGGCTCCCTTTGCTATCCCTTCCGCCCAGAAGCAAGATTGAGTTTATCGAGCGTCTGCGCTCAAAAGACAGGCATTTTTTCCCCCCCGTTTATGTGAAGGTGTAATATAAGGTTTTCTTATTTACTATTCAGTCTGTAAAGAAGGGGGTTGGGAAGGTTTCAAGGGTAGAAAATAAACCAAGCCTGTTTCTATTTTTTCAGGGAAAAACCAGAACATGGAAATGGCTTCATTGGCGTTTTCTGTGCAAAATCCAACATCAGTCAGAAACAAATGTAATCATAGATTGTATATGAAAATCAGATAAGTTATGACCTGTCCAATTTGTTTAAGTAATTTCTAATCAAAAGGCTTAAATTAAATGAAAGCAATTATAAAAACTTGTATTTGATTCTTGTCCACTTTTGTTCTGAATTGGACCGACTATACTTATTTATATCTGTCTGTCTGTGTATATGTGTATATAGATTTAAACACATCATTGGTATTTATGTTAATTTCTATTTGATCACTTATAATTACAACAGTAAGATTATTCTCAGGCTGTATCTCTACCCATGTTACATCTCTTTATCCCACTTTTCCTCATTCTTTGCAAAATGGCCTAATTGTTTTTGACTGGTTCGTTTTAACACTTGTTTTGATCTAAACTAGCGTTTCTTAACCCTGATGCTCGGGGTCCACTGCCCTTCATGTTTTAGATCTGTCTCTGCTCTACCACGCCTGTTTCAAATATTTGCATTACCTCCTCAGCAGCCATGAAATGTTGCAAAAACCTTTTGATCACTTTTCTACTCAGGTCAGGTGCTTAGAGGCAGGGAAACACGTAAAACATGTTGGTCAGTGGTCCCTGAAGACCAGGGTTAGGAAACCCTGACCTAAACAAGCTGCTGTAACTCTAGATCTATATTTATAGCCACTTTGAGTCTTTCTCAGTCTTCTAAATTTGTGCTTAGTATCATCTAGGGCTGGGTAATAATGCCAAAACACATATATGTATGTAAATGAAATGAAGGCCTCTGAATGACAACAAAATTTTAAAAACTTCTACAACTTTAATTTAATTCAGTTTATTTCTATGGCGCCAATTCACAACACGTCATCTTTACAGTTCACCAGATCATAGCCAAATTGATTTAAAGTTTTCTATCTGAGGAAAACCATTTGATAGCATGGACTCATCTGCAATCCCTCACACTAAGCATGCTTGTAGCGACAGTGGAGAGGAAAAACTCCCTTTTAACAGGAAGAAACCTCCAGCAGAACCAGGCTCAGTGTGAGCGGCCATCTCCTGAGGCCGACAGAAGGAGACAGAAGCAGAGATGCAAAAAGCAACCGTAAAAGGCGGCCCGTCTTGGAAACACATACATTACATTTGAGAAATATATGCTTTGAACTTCCCAGTTTTATATAGATTCGTGCATTTTCTTTTTCAGTCAGTGCTTTCAGAGGGATTTAAAATTTTTTATAGATGCTGGAGATCAACCTGTTTTCCAGTGTAGTCCTGTTTCTCTGACTGTGATTAACTGGATGTGCTCTCTTCATCGTCTGACATGGGAGTTGGCTCGGAGCTCGTCTGTCTGGCTGTGTGTTTCCTGGACTGGGCCGCCTTTTATAGTTTACTTTTGCATCTCTGCTTCTGTCTCCTTGAACCCCAGTCGGCCTCAGCAGATGGCCGCTCACACTGAGCCTGGTTCTGCAGGAGGTTTCCTCCTGTTAAAAGGGAGTTTTTCCTCTCTACTGTCGCTACAAGCATGCTTAGTGTGAGAGATTGCCTTCGAGTCAATGAGTCGATGCATTTAACTGGTTTTCCTTAGATAGAAAACTTTTAATCAATTTGACTGGATGAACTGGTGAACTGTAACAAGCCTTGAGATGACATGTGATGTGAATTGGCGCTATAAAAGTAAACTGAATTGAGTTAAATTAGACCAAAACTGTGCATTTTGTATTGGTTAATTACTGAGAGGCATCATAGTAAAAGTGGCTAAATACAAAATCAACCAAGACTTAAAAAAAAAAAAAACCCTCCAAAACTGCATCCTCCTGTGATTGACATAATGGCAGTCCAACCACTGGATGTCCGATAAACTTCTTCATGGTGGTTTATTCCTGTTTTTCTTGCTTTATCAATGCAGAAACCACGCCATGAGGAAGAAGCTCATCCTGTATTTCAAAAGGAGAAATCACGCTCGTAAGCAGTGGGTAAGTAGAAAACTCCTGGTGTGACTCAGCCAGAGAGAGATGACTAGTGTGAAACGGGGCCAGCTGCTCCTCGAAGCGAGTGGCCATTTTAGACCTGCCAAGGAGGGAAAATGAGGCTCTGTTGGTGATCTGTTGTCTGTGTTTGCTTTAAGCCGCGGGGGAAACCACAGCTGCAGAAAACAAGTAGAAAAGATCTCTGCGGCTGAAATAGTTTGATGTCTTCTGGATTCATTCTTTCTGCCAAACACTGCAGTGACCATGTGGTGCATTTGTTGTTTTTCTGTTTTTTTTCCTGGCAGTGTTTGTGGAAACAAAAGCCAAAGTAAAAAGATTTTTGTGAATCAGGCTGTTCTGTCAAATTTGCATATCGGCTAACTCATATTGGAAGCGAGAAAGAATCAAACTCTGTGACATGTTGGTGTCTGCCTCACGTATCTTCCCTCATAGTGTGTCTAAGTGGGGGAGGTAGTCTCGCATGCAGAGTTATCGCCCTGTAGTTTAACAAGCCCGCTGAGGGTCTGGTCTCCACCAGGGTTAATAGGTTGCTTCATGGAGGAAGAAAAGCTACGCCTTGCCGTCTGCTAGAGCTCCAAATCATGTCTCTGCATAGAACATTTGGCATGTCAAAATCATTAAATCTGGAGTGCAATCAGTTATTGCACTCCAGATTTAATGACCCCTCAGTCCTGCATGTTTCATTCAGAAGAAATGTTACAGTTCTGCAGAGATCCTTTTCTTTCTCTGAACTCCCAGGAACAGAAGTTTTGCCAGCGCTATGACCAGCTGATGGAGGCCTGGGAGAAGAAGGTGGAGCGCATTGAAAACAACCCGCGGCGCCGGGCTAAGGAGAGCAAGGTGCGGGAGTACTACGAGAAACAGTTCCCAGAGATCCGCAAGCAGAGGGAGATGCAGGAACGGATGCAGAGGTGGGATGAACACAGCAGACTGGATGTGCTTTGAAACCAGCTCCGTTTTAGAGGATGGCTGGGATAAACTTTGTCTCTCTGCGTCTGCAGCCGTGTCGGGCAGCGAGGAGGCGGACTGACCTCATCTGCAGCCCGAAGCGAACACGAAGTCTCCGAAATCATTGATGGGATATCAGAGCATGAGGTGAGCCCTTTCTGTTAAAATTGGTCGGCCCCCCCCTCCCCAAATTGCCCTTTGGCAACTCTTTGGGTGACCTGCAAGTCTGCAACAGTAGGAAATTTCCAGGTAAGCTTTGTTCTCAATGCTAACCTGCCTTTTCCGTCTTTGGAAATATGCTCAGGCATTCCAGATCAATATAAGGGGCTGGAATTAGGTGCAGTTTCGGATTCTGTCCTCTCTGTCAAAGACCTAACTTATCTTTGTTTTAAAGTTTCCAAGTTTTGGACACCAAAGACTGTCCAGCTGTAAAGGTTCCACGCCAGCAGCTTTGATTTCATCAGTAATAGATTCATTGAACAAATATTGTTTTCCTTTTTAAATAAATGTTTCTCAATAAGCAAATGTTTGAATTAAGGAAAAAGGGTCATTTTGAGTGCATTATAAATGGCTTAAACATGTAAAAATAAAAACCATACCTCTTAAGGAGTTTTTGAGGGAGCATATTCATAAAGGTGCTTTCTTAAAGCAAAAAGTTATATACATATATTTATACAGCTTTGACTCAGAGTCAATTCTCAGAGTATTAATGTTATAATTTATAGTCTGTATACTCATTTAATGATTATTTAATAGTGGTTTGGTAAAAACGGCTGCACATTGGAGCAGTGAGTAGCACTGCTACCTTTCAGCAAGAAGTTTTGGAGTTCGATTCCCTGCCCGGGGACTTTCTGCATCGAGTTATGTTTCCCTGAGCATGCATGGGTTCTCTCAAGGTACTCCGGCTTCCTCCCACAGTCCAAAAACATGACTGTTAGGTTACCATATTTTCACGACTATAAGGCGCACATAAACGTCTTTTTTTCCCCTCAAAATGTGCGGCGCGCCCTATGGTGCGGTGCGCCCTATGTGTGTTGTAACTGCGGACTTTTGAGACCCCCTCATTGAGGAGATGATGAAAGAGTGGCTGAATGTAAGGAGACCAGGTGTTTTTTTTCCACTCATCACTATTGCTGTTATTCTGTGACTCCGCGCGTGCCCATCTCACAGCTGTGTGACCTGTAGGTTAGGGTTAGGGTTGCTGTTATTCAACTGCTCAACATCGGTGTGAACCGGACGCAGCAGAGAACCAATCAGAGAAGCTGATCTGGGAGCTGACAGCGAGACAGACACATCGCTCTGATGACATATGATATTAAAGCAAATGAAAGGGCTGGATGGATGAGGAGATGATGAAAGCGTGGCTGAGGGAGGTGTATGTGAGGAGACCAGGTGGTTTTTTCCACACATCACCATCGCTGTTAATCTGTGACTCCATGCGTGCCCATCTCACAGCCGATGTGAGAAACAAGGTGAAACGAATGAAGGACAGAGGAACTTCAACCCCTCGACATCGGTGTGAACCGGCCGTTCAAAGTAAGGCTGCGAGCGGCGTGGGAGCGATGGATGACAGACGGAGACCACAGTTTCAGGATAAGTGGAAGGCAGCGCCGGGCAAATTACGCCACCGTTTGCGGATGGATTGTAGATGCTTGGGCTAACGTGTTTGCTGGCTCTGTTGTTCAAGCTTTCGCAAAAGCCGGCATCATTTCCAAGGAGCCGCGCTGCACGGAAAGTGACTCTGACAGCGAAGAAGGGGAAATTGGCATGTCTGATTTAGCGCAGCTGTTTAATTCAGAAACAGAGGATGAGGACTTTGATGGGTTTGATTAATACTTTGTAATAAATACATGAATAAAGCACAAACATACTCAGTTTTGCTCCCGCTCTATTTTTCTACCTGAAAACTTAATTCAACAGCAGCCTCTGGGCGGGTCTCCTCCTCTTCACCGTGGTGGCTGGCAGGTGTTTTTTCATCTAAATAATCTAAATCTTGCAGCTATATTTGCTGTGATCAGTGGGAATAAAGTAGTTTTAATATGATTTTAAGTGAGAAAGGCCACCTGAAAACTTCATAATTGCAGTCAGTTCATCCAGATTATCTATTTCTGTCGGAGGCGCTCAGACCCCCACATACCAACGGTGCACCGACAGCAGAAATCCCTTCATCAGCAGCCTCTGGGCCTGTTCGCCTCCGGGTTCACCGCGGTGGCTGGCAGGTGTTTTTCATCTAAATAATTTAAACTGCAGGCACCAGGATACCGGTAATAAAAGTTTCAGGATTTTAATTTACCGTATTTTCACGACCATAAGGCGCACCGGACTAAAAGGCGCAGTCTCAGTTATGTGTCCCATTTCTGTATTTAACACACACATAAGGCGCACCGGACTATAGGGCGCGTTTTTTATATACAGGTACATGTCCTCTCAGGTGGATTTTCCCACTTAAAAACATATTAAAACTACTTTATTCCCACTGATCACAGCAAATAAAGCTGCAAGGGGTATTTATTACAAAGTATTATTCAAACCTGGGAACCGGCCGTGAGAGACACATCGCTGATGACACAGGGCTGTGATTTACTCCTCTGATACAGTTTATTGACGCATAAATTAACTTAAAACATAGGCAGGATAATAATCTGGATGAACTGACTGCAATGATAAAATTTTCAGGTGGACTTTCTCACTTAAAAAGATTTAGATTATTTAGATGAAAAAACACCTGCTGAGGTGAGCCCGGATGCGCCGCGGCCCAGAGGCTGCTGTTGAATTAAGTTTTCAGGTAGAAAAATAGAGCGGGAGCAAAACTGAGTATGATTGTGCTTTATTCAAGTATTTATTACAGAGTATTAATCAAACCCCTCAAAGACCTCATCCTCTGTTTCTGAATTAAACAGCTGCGCTAAATCCGACATGCCAGTTTCCCCTTCTTCTTCGCTGTCAGAGTCACTTTCCGTGCCGGGCGGCTCCTTGGAAATAATGCCGGCTTTTGCGAAAGCTGGAACAACAGTCCCAGCAGAAACGTTAGTCCAAGCATCTACAATCCATCCGCAAACGGTGGCGTAACTTGCCCGGCGCTGCCTTCCACTTTTAGTGAAACTGTGCTCTCCGTCTGTCATCCATCGCTCCCACGCCGCTCGCAGCCTTACTTTGAACGGCCGGTTCACACCGATGTCGAGCGGTTGAAGTTCCTTTGTCAGACCTCCCGGAATAACAGCAAGCACAGCGTTCATTTCTTTGACCTTTATATTCACATCGGCTGTGAGATGGGCACGCATGGAGTCACAAATGAACAGAGATGATGATGCGTGGAAAAAACCACCTGGTCTCCTTACATACAGGTGCTGGTCATAAAATTAGAATATCATGAAAAAGTAGATTGATTTCAGTAATTCCATTTAAAAAGTGAAACTTGTATATTATATTCATACATTACATACAAACTCATATATTTCAGATGTTTATTTTGTTTAATTTTGATGATTACAAATGACAACAAATGAAAATCTCAAATTCATCATATCAGAAAATTAGAATATTGTGAAAAGGTTCAAAATTGATGGCCCCTGGTGCCACACTCTAATCAGCTAATTAACTCAAACCACCTGCAAAAGCCTTTAAATGGTCTTTCAGTCTAGTTCTATAGGCTACACAATCATGGGGAAGACTGCTGACTTGACAGTTGTCCAAAAGACGACCATCGACACCTTGCACAAGGAGGGCAAGACACAAAAGGTCATCGCTAAAGAGGCTGGCTGTTCACAGAGCTCAGTGTCCAAGCACATTAATAGAGAGGCGAAGGGAAGGAAAAGATGTGGTCGAAAAAAGTGTACAAGCAAGAGAGATAACCGCACCCTGGAGAGGATTGTGAAACAAAACCCATTCAAAAATGTGGGGGAGATTCACAAAGAGTGGACTGCAGCTGGAGTGAGTGCTTCAAGAACCACCACACACAGACGTATGAAAGACATGGGTTTCTGCTGTCGCATTCCTTGTGTCAAGCCACTCTTGAACCACAGACAGCGTCAGAAGCGTCTTGCCTGGGCTAAAGAGAAACAGGACTGGACTGCTGGTGAGTGGTCCAAAGTCATGTTCTCTGATGAAAGTAAATTTTGCATTTCCTTTGGAAATCAAGGTCCCAGAGTCTGGAGGAAAAGAAGAGAGGCACTTCATCCACGTTGCTTGAAGTCCAGTGTAAAGTTTCCACAGTCAGTGATGGTTTGGGGTGCCATGTCATCTGCTGGTGTTGGTCCATTGTGTTTTCTGAGGTCCAGGGTCAACGCAGCCACATACCAGGAAGTTTTAGAGCACTTCATGCTTCCTGCAGCTGACCAACTTTTTGGAGATGCAGATTTCATTTTCCAACAGGACTTGGCACCTGCACACAGTGCCAAAGCTACCAGTACCTGGTTGAAGGACCATGGTATCCCTGTTCTTAATTGGCCAGCAAACTCTCCTGACCTTAACCCCATAGAAAATCTATGGGGTATTGTGAAGAAGATGCAATACACCAGACCCAACAATTCAGAAGAGCTAAAAGCCACTATTAGAGCAACCTGGGCTATCATAACACCTGAGCAGTGCCACAGACTGATCGACTCCATGCCACGCCGCATTGCTGCAGTAATACAGGCCAAAGGAGGCCAAACTAAATACTGAGTGCTGTACATGCTCATACTTTTCATGTTCATACTTTTCAGTTGGCCAACATTTCTATAAATCCTTTGTTTTTATTGGTCTTCAGTAATATTCTAATTTTCTGATATGATGAATTTGAGATTTTCATTTGTTGTCATTTGTAATCATCAAAATTAAACAAAATAAACATCTGAAATATATGAGTTTGTATGTAATGTATGAATATAATATACAAGTTTCACTTTTTAAATGGAATTACTGAAATCAATCTAATTTTTCATGATATTCTAATTTTATGACCAGCACCTGTACACCTCCCTCAGCCATGCTTTCATCATCTCCTCGTCCATCCAGCCTTTTTCATTCGCCTTAATAACAACTCCAGCTGGAGTTGAAACGCTGGCCCCACTCGTTCTTTGCTCCACGATCCACCTCTCCAGTCTTTCCTCCAACTCGGGCCACCTCGCCTTATGTCCGCGGAAACTCAGCTGCGTCTTCTTCACCAGTCGGAGTTCGTTTTCCAGCTTCCTCCACTTGCGAACCATTGATTCATTTATATCGAATTCTCTCGCAGCTGCTCGATTTCCATGTTCCTCTGCGTAGCTGATAGCCTTCAGTTTAAACTGGGCTTCATAGGCGTGTCTCTTTGCCATTTCCAGGGTTGTTAAGACAACAATGTTCTGCATAAAGCACATACCTGTTCTTTTATACACAAGCCACGCCCACACTTCCCCCTTTAAGGTTCTCACATACTCATGGTGGTCTCAACAACGTCCGCAGATAGGGCGCACCGCACCAAAGGGCGCACCCCACATTTTGAGGGAAAAAAAAGACGTTTAGGTGCGCCTTATAGTCGTGAAAATACGGTAATTTAGGAGTGATCACAGCGCTGTGTCATCTGCGATGTGTCTGTCTCACAGCCAGCTCCCAGGTTTGATTAATACTTTGTAATAAATACATGAAAAAAGCACAGCCATACTCAGTTTTGCGCCCGCTCTATTTTTAAATACGCAGTAGAGGTATTTAAAGGTAGTAGAGGACATGTACCTGTATATAAAAAACGCGCCCTATAGTCCGGTGCGCCTTATGTGTGTGTTAAATACAGAAATGGCACACAAAACTGAGACTGCGCCTTTTAGTATGGTGCGCCTTATGGTCGTGAAAATACGGTAATTAATTTCTCTAAATTCTCCTTGGGTGTGAGTGTGTGTGAATGGTTGTTTGTCCTGTTTGTCTCTGTGTTGCCCTGAGATGGACTGGCAACCTGTCCAGGGTGTACCCCTGGTTCGGTTAAAAATTAATACATTTTTTGCAAATGAATAGATTTAACTCTAAAAGGCTCTTAAACTTCCTATTGGTATAAAAGTATTACATAATTGAGGTGTTAAACCAAATAACCAAAAGTTTTCTTTTAGTCTCCAGAAGTATTTTATTCAGGAAACAGGAGAGTTTTGTTGTGGGATTCGTCTAATCCACAGCTGTCAAACTGGTTCCAGAAAGGGCCGTGTGGCTGCAGGTTTTCTTTCTAACCAAACATTAGCACACCAGACTCCATTCATCTCATCAAGTCATCATGTTCAGATTGGACTCCTTTGACTAGATGACTGGAGTCTGGTGTGCTATTGCTTGGCTGGAAAGAAAATCTGCAGCCACACGGCCCTTTCTGGAACCACTTTGACACCCATGGTCTAATCACTCATTGTCCCTCTAGAAACCGGGTCCCAATCAGATTGTAGGGATAGAACTTGTAAGGGGGCGGTGCTTATGAATCTATTGACGGTGTAGCTACCAGATCTGCTCCGGCCGTGCGCATGCAATTGATGTTACGCTACATGATTGGCTGAACATTGCCACATGGTGTAAAACTTAGTGGTTGCCCAGACAAAGACAAAAACATCATGCGGCGCCGAGTCGGGAGCATCTGTAGTGTAAGCGTGTCCAATGACCGATGAAGTTTTACCTTGACTATAAAAAAAACTGAGAAAAATCTGTTTATGGTGAACAAAGTAACTGTTAGATCATGATATAAAGGGAGAGCGCTGGGTAGCACTGTGGCTAGCTGTGCTCCGTAGCTAACAGGTTAGCCTCTTTCAGCTCGGTCAGTTAGCCATATTAAGCTACAGTACTTTTAACATTAAACCGTTAGCTTTCTATAAGAAGACTAACTTTTTTGTCTAAAATCTCTATGAAAGTTATTTTTGAGATGTTCCATTTGTCCTTCCTGTCCTCAGATCTTAATAAAAAGAATAAAAATAAGCTGAGACTTGTTTTGTAACATTGTTAAATGGCAGAGCTCAGTCTGTCTTAGAACACAGTCATTTTCTTCAAGACTGAGAATAATTTGTTTTCTTCTTTCGGCTACGGGTGCAATACAGTTCGTCCGATTGGAGTTGCCATATATTGACGTCATAAGAAGGGGCGGGACCCCGAGCAGATCTGGAACCTACAACGGCTCATTATCTTCTTTTAACTTTAAATTATAACACGTCAGTTTTATCTGCCTGCACAGCACTTTGATTGATAGATCCTTACAATTTCTTTATCGTTATTAAACCAGGTAACTTGTTTTTTTTGTTTTTTTTAAATAAAAAATAAAACACAAGAATAAAGTAAAATAACCTGATTTCAGTGGCTACATTAATATATGAATTATTTTATGAATACATGGACTTTAACTCTTAATCTTCAGATTTTTATTTACTATTTATAAAGCCTGGTATAAATAAAATTAATAAAAAGGGTTTTTATTTGCATTAAAACAATCCTTGTTGCCGACCAGCCTTTTGCATGTTTCCACTTCTATTTAGAAAATGTATCTTTGATGATTTGTTCAAGGGTTAAAGGTTGGAAGGCCTCCTTTCCATCACCCCAATCATTAGTTCCCATGTAGACCAATCCAAAACGTTAATGTTACTACCATCCGGGAAAAAAAACAAGTTTATTAAAGATGGCTGTTAACTTAGATTTGCCAGTGGTGTGAATAATTTTAAGTTTAACTACAGATATGTGTGCATGTGTTCAAAATCTCAAGAAAAAATAACAAGAACATAAAACTGTGTCTGGCAGAACTGGGGAATTTGAAACTGAAAGAGTTTGGCAACTCAGATTTGCAAATGTTGTCATGATTCAGTCCTGAGAGAAAAAGCCATTGATGTAAAGAGCTTTAACATATCTGAAGGTTTCAGATTTAAAAAATGTTGGAGGAATTTTATGCGGCCAATTGGACCTAAGCGGGGCATCACTGTAATGTTCCTCCAAAGCATTGATATCGATCACAGTGCATTTCATAACCTACTTAGTCAGCAAAGTAGAGCAGGTAGAGGCTTGTTTTTAACTCCATCAAATTAAACTGTGCAATATTAATACATGGCTACACAAAAAACACTTTTATTTAAAGGTTTAACCACATTGTGCCAAAAATAAAGTTTTGGACAACAATCACAAGGCTCTCTTTGTGAATTAAGAGCAATTCAAAGGCAGCCAGTCTTGATCTCCTAGAGGGATGTTGTTCTAAAGCTAGAATAGATAACAGCGCTCCTCTCCCATGGATGCATTCGTTTTCAAACATGTCTTTGTAAGCAGAATTCGTTTCTCTTTTAGGACCAGTCTGTTGACTTGAGGATTTTTGCTTTCTCTTTCTCGTCTCATCCACGTGCAGAACACAGAGAAGCAAATGCGTCAGCTGGCGGTCATCCCTCCTATGCTGTTCGACGCCGAGCAGCAGCGCATCAAGTTCATCAACATGAACGGACTGATGGACGACCCAATGAAGGTTTACAAGGACCGGCAGGTTATGAACATGTGGAGCGAGCAGGAGAGGGACACTTTCCGGGAGAAGTGAGCAAAGCAGTCTTTTTCTTCTAAATTCTGTTTACTGGTCAAACTGGGGAAATGCCACACGAGTCTCGTTATGCTCCTTACACAAAGTGCTTGGCAGCTGACCTTAAGCCACAAAATTTAAAGTGTTATTCCCTGTGATATCTGAGTAGCTGATAAAGGGTCAGTGAGTTGTTTCTTTTTTGCTAAGGAAGTGAATCTTCCCCTTTCGTGAGAACTGAGAGGAGGTTTGGAGCTGCAAATCAAATCAGGACCACACAGTAAAACTGGTGACTTTTAAGTTACCCACACAAAGAGCTTTAGTTTCCTCTTCAGGTCACACTCACCCCAAACAAACACTCGCTGTGACCAGCGCATGTCAGCTGGGGTGTTTCCCGCTGCATCTAAGATGATTTAAATGTCTAATCATTTACAAAACTCAGTCATTTTTCTCTGATCAGCTTTTTTTTCCCCTCTTAAAGGTTCATCCAGCATCCTAAAAACTTTGGCCTGATAGCTTCATTTCTAGAGAGAAAGGTATGATTCTTCTTCTTTTTTTTGGCCCTTTTCTTCCGTTGTTGTTTTAGAGTAAGTTTGTGCTCAGAGGAAGTGAAATGTCATCTCACATTTGCATTTCAGACGGTGGCAGAGTGTGTGCTCTTTTACTACCTGACCAAAAAGAATGAAAACTACAAGAACATAGTGCGAAGGAACCGGCGCCGAGGGAGATCCCTGGTAATATTTTACTCTTGAAAGTTCAGCCTGAGGAGTGTGGTCATGTTTACTTTAGGGTCTGCGTACCACTACAGCTGGTGAGCTAAAAGCTAAGCAGCTACTAGCTTATTGCAGTTCTGGTTACTCTCAATTCTTAAACACATTTTCTAAGATCTAGCAGCGTTTATGTTCCTCTTTTTTTTCTATAGACTGAAAGCTGGATGTATGTCTGTAGAGGAAGAGCGTTAAAAAACGATTTCCTGCCATAAATGTTTTGATTTGAACGTTTTAAGGGAGTTGGAGCAAAGATTAGGATCAGTTTTGGATGTCGGGCTGAAAAACGTACTTTCAATCACATCCAGCCGTTTAGATCATGATGGAAAAATGTAAACGTTATGTATTGAGCTTCAGCGCTTTGCAACACGAACTATCAGTGTCTTTTATCAGGATTTCTATGTGATAGACCAACATAGTGTCATGCATAGTTGTATATTGGAGGAAAAAAATATTTCCCCTCAAAAAAACTTTATAGAACCCCGTTTTGCAGCTAATCTTTAGCTGCTCCAATGTTTTAGCTTCAGGGTCTCAAGACAGCTTTTCTTTGCAGAAACATTCAGAGGTTTGGTCAAAGTTGATCAGAGGATGGATGGAAGAAAAATAATCCTAGAAGAAAAATAACTTTCGTTCTCAGCCACCCTTTACTCTGACGCCCCTAAATTTAATTTAGTTGCAATTCAGTTTATTTCTATAGTGCCAATTCACAACACGTCATCTCAAGGCACTTTACAGTTCACCAGATCATCAAGTCAAATTGATTGAAAACTTTTCTATCTAAGAAAAACCAGTTGATTGCATTGATTCATTGACTCTTCTGCAATCCGTCACTCTAAGCATGCTTGTAGCAACAGTGGAGAGGAAAAACTCCCTTTTAACAGGAAGAAGCGTCTAGCAGAACCAGGCTCAGTGTGAGCGGCCACCTGCCGCGACAGAAGCAGAGATACAAAAGGCAACTGTAAAAGGCGGCAGCGTCCAATACCGTATTTTTCGGACTATACATCGCTCCGGAGCCAAAAAACGCATTCTGAAGACGAAAAAAACATATTTACGTCGCACCGGTTTAAAAGTCCCACCTTTTTTGAAAGGTTATTCTATGCATGGGATCCGTTTTCTGATAACTGCTGCATGGTAGGCTACTACTCAAAGACTGTATTGTTTTATTTCATGAACGAGCATCTGAGAAGCAGTGATAATCATTCAGACCACTATATCATATCAAGACCACAACACTATAGATGAACAATATAGTTTATCTTGAAAGAATAAACAGGCCCATTTTAAAAACTCTAAACATTGTCATTGTTGCAATGCCAATTTGCAACGCACCAGAGTACAAGTCGCACGGCCAGCCAAACCATGAAAAAAGTGCGACTTATAGTCAGAAAAATACGGGAATTGTTTCAAGTCATTACGATCTAATGGCCAAAAGTGATTTTTCCATCAAAAGCAAAAATATTTTTACTCTGAAACTCCAGTTTAATAATAATCCAAAGCTTTTCACATAATTTAGCTAAAATTGATACAAATCTCATTATCACTAAGTCATGAAACGTTCTAAAGATGTGAAATTCACCAACTCACTCAAATGTTTATTTTTCCTTCTCGTTTAAGTCCCAGTCACATTCAGAGAAACAGGACTACACTGAAAAAACAGGCCGATCTCCAACATCTATAAACAAAGGTGTTGATGGCAGCAGCACAGCTGATATTATATTATAAATATAATCCTTAATAAACAAACACTTTAAGATATAATCTATTAGGAAATAAGGTGCTGAATCATTTTCCATCAGCTTTGCGTTGTTTAGATGGTTCTCGCAGGGTCCCAATAAAATGCGTAGGAGTTATAACTCTGCATTTTACATAAACTATCCTCATGAAACTGTCTTCAAATAAATGTTTAATGTTCTTTAGGAGGATATAAACTAATTAGAGCTCATTCAAACCCTTTCCATTATTTTTCCTCATAAGGGCCTACATAAGAATTTTACCCCATTTACACTACCCTTGAAAAACTATGTTGAGACCGGTCCGACTCAGTAACTGAGATAACTTATCGTGTGTAAATGGAAAGCAAACTGAACTGAACCGAGCTAGACACAACCGGACCAAGATAACTGCAGACCAGTTCCAGAGGTGGGCTCAGGTCGGTTTTTTCCTGGCTCGGTTCTCTGATAACAAGAGCGCATGAGCAGAACGTGTCATCTCCGTCTGGCTGCGCATCGCGATTCACACTCCATTCCAGTAGTTGGCGGTAATGCCCCTCCGGAAATTCAATTCAATTCAGTTTATTTATATAGCGCCAAATTCACAACACATGTCATCTCAAGGCACTTTACAGTTCAACCATATCATACAGTCAAATTGATACAAAGTTTTCTATCTAAGGAAAACCAGTTGATTGCATTGACTCATTGACTCAAATACAATCCCCCACACTAAGCATGCTTGTAGCGACAGTGGAGAGGAAAAACTCCCTTTTAACAGGAAGAAACCTCCAGCAGAACCAGGCTCAGTGTGAGCGGCCATCTGCCGAGGCCGACTGGGGTTCAAGGAGACAGAAGCAGAGATACAAAAAGCAGCTGTAAAAGGCGGCCCCGTCCAGGAAACACACAGCCAGGCAGACGAGCTCCAAGGCAGCTCCCATGCCAGAAGAAGGAAACAGAAGAAGAACAGCTTCTTCTTAAACTATAAACAACAATCGAAATCTTGGCCGTTTCTCAATTCACGAGAACGGGAGTATGTACTCGCATTCTCGTCAAGTCCGTTCTTGGCGAGAACGCAGGAAGATCGGACTTGACGAGAACGCGAGCACGCAAGCACGTATGTGTATTGGAGCAGAAGCGTACTCGTGACTTCATCACAGGCAGCGTTGTTTAGCATTTCTTTAACAGTCAAAACTATTTATTCCCTACACAAAACATTTTGAAAACAATATTTTTAATTTCTAAAGCTTAAAAAACATTTAAAAAAATGACCGAACCGCAAAAAACCACCATCAGAACGAGCGGTAGTTCACACATAACTAGACCGAGAGAAGTGCACTACAGACGGGGAAAATTTAGCCCTGGCTGCGGTTACCCTCGGAGGTCTGCTGGTCACTCTAGTCCGCTCAACGTCTGACTTTTTTTTTTAAATTTCGCACTAACTCTGTAAACAGACCACACAGGGAGGCTTAAATGTATAATGTTATCGCCTCAAACGATTTCAAAACGTACTTTTGAAGAACAACAGCGGCAGAAAAGGGAATGTTTAACTTAACACTGTGAGCGCTGTCTGGAATCAAGCTGCGGCCGCGGGGCATTCTGGGGAAGCGGTCAGTCTGAAGAACGCACAAGTCTGCTCTGATGCATGCTCGATAAAGAGGGCGGGGTGAGAACAACATCCGGGGATTTGATGCGTTCTCGATCTGGCGTTCTTGAGAATTGGAACGGTACTCGGGCTGAGGCTGATGACGTGCCACGAGTACACGAGCACACGAGAACGCTCAACAACGCATATTGAGAAACGCCCCTTCTCCACGCAACATTTTAAATAATGGCATTTTAAATAATAACAAAGGAAGTACAGCAATAATAATGAAGCCTAACTTTCTGAATGTGACGGACGACGCCTTTTTGATTTGCTCGATTCCCTCCTTCTTCGTCGTCTTCTTCTTGTGTTTTATGGCGGTTGGCAAACAACTTTAGGCGCATTACCGCCACCAACTGCTTGATTTCCTCCTTCAATACTAGCAGTAATACCGCACATCGTCACTAGGAGGCGAGGAGTCGAGGAACCGAGATAGCGTGATGTGTAAACGGTCGTCAGAACCGAGCTCGGCCTGGTTAACTGATCCAAACTCAGACCGGTCTCGGCATGGATCGGTTTTGCAAGGGTAGTGTAAATGGGGAATTTAATTTGTGTGTTTGTGACATAGGCAACATTAGCAGTTTGCTATGGCTCCTTCACCAACTATAGCAACCCAACGTGAACAGTTAGATGGTAAAAATTAATTTAAGTGTGAGATCTTCTACATGTTTTGAAAAAGAAAATGTACTTCTGTTAAAAACCAGTCAGTTGGGCCAATTATTATTTTTTTTTAATTAGTCCATCAGACCTAAACTTTGGGAGGGGCTAGTGAAATGACCCGTTTCCTGAGCACGCAATGTCTCCTGGTCTCTCTTAATGAGCCCTGCTCATAACTTGGAGGTTCGCTCCCCCTGTTTAGTGCAGCGGCTCGCAGCGTGAGCTCGCAGGGACAGAACCGAACACCTACAGCGGAGGAAGTGAAAGTGCGTCGCTTTACATTCTACAAAGATGGGGTCTGAAAAGTTTGTCCTTCTTCATGATATGTCACCACATCAACCCTGGGGAGATTATATGCGGGTTCATGTTTCTCTTTGTGGTTGATGGAGTTAGGAGACCATGTGACGGATTTGCCCTCCTAGAAGGCTTGATGTTCCCTTACCAAGATGGAGCTTTGAATTATGTCTTATCTTTACAGGGTTACAGTGAATTTCTATTTCTTTGATTAGAAGAAGCAGCTAATGCTAAAATAGCAATTAAAGTAGAAGGTTTGAAAGATGTGAATGTACTTTAAAGAACTGTTGAAAGTTTTTGGTCTGACTGTGTGGCTGTAGTAGCATGAACTCTAACCCTGATAGCCCAGACGGGCAGGAAGCTGGAAAGGAAGTGGTTCTGGGTGCAGTTATACAGCAGAAATGCTCCGCTATAATTTCGGAACTTTCATATCCTGTTTTGTTTAACATCTTGTGACAATTTGTAGATTTTTTTATTTTTTTTTCTGAAGGTTAGTGGATTTTTTAATGTGTGAATCAAAGTGAAACTAAGATTCACCATATCAGATAAAACTTAAAAATGACTCATGGGAAGTTATCACCTCTTAATAACAGTTGACAAGAGTTTATGACGTGTAAAGGTAAATCATTTGATTTTCACTGAGAAATGGAGTGTTTGGAAAAAAAACTATCACCTTAAACGTTGATGTGCCTTTAAGTTTGCTCATCTTTAAAGAGATATGGTTGATGGAAAATCTGGAATTAGCAGAAGATCTTCCAGTGATGGAGGATGGTTCAAGGTGCTGGTGTTACAGATTCGTTAAGAAAACCTGTTAGCAGCGGGACTAATCAAGGAAAGGCTTCAGTTTATTACGTGGCATTAATATCATGTCACGTAGTCTGATTAGTCCATATCTATTCTGTTTATGAGTGATGGTCTCATCAGGGCAAAAATAGCTTCAAAAGTAGATTCATTTCTATTCAATTCAGTTTATTTCTATAGCGCCAATTCACAACATATGTCATCTGAAGGCACTTTACAGTTCACCAGATCATCCAGTCAAATTGATTCAAAGTTTCTATATAAGGAAAACCAGTTGATTGCATCGACTCATCTGCAATCTCTCACACTAACCATGCTTGTAGCGACAGTGGAGAGGAAAAACTCCCTTTTAACAGGAAGAAGCGTCTAGCAGAACCAGGCTCAGTGTGAGCGGCCATCTGCTGCGACAGAAGCAGAGATACAAAAGGCAACTGTAAAAGGCAACACCGTCCAATACCGTATTTTTCGGACTACACATTGCTCCGGAGCCAAAAAACGCATTATGAAGACGGAAAAACATATTTACGTCGCACCGGACTAAAAGTCCCACCTTTTTGAAAGATTATTCTATGCATGGAATTCGTGTTCTGATAACTGCTGCATGGTAGGCTACTACTCAAAGACCGCATTGTTTTATTTCATGAACGAGCATCTGAGAAGCAGTGATAATCATTCAGACCACTATATGACATCAAGACCACAACACTAGAGATGAACAATATAGTTTATCTTGAAAGAAGAAATAGGCAAATTTTAAAGTCCAATGGCCAGCCAAACCATGAAAAAAGTGTGACTTATAGTCCAAAAAATACGGTAATTGTTTCAAGTCATTACGATCTAATGGCCAAAAGTGATTTTTCCATCAAAAGCAAAAATATTTTTACTCTGAAAACTCCAGTTTAAATAATAATCCAAAGCTTTTCACATAATTTAGCTAAAATTGATACAAATCTCATTATCACTCAGTCATGAAGCGTTCTAAAGATGTGAATTTCACCAACTCACTCCAATGTTTATTGTTCCTGCTCGTTTAATTACAGCAACAACAGCAGCAGCAGCAGCAGCAACAACAGCAGCAGCAACAGCAACAGCAGCAGCAGCAGCAACAAGTGACCCGGAACAGCCAGGAGGACAAGGAGAAGGAGGAGAAGGAGAAGGAGGGGGAGAGAGATGAGGAGAAAAATGAAGCAGAGGACAAGGAGGATGGAATGAAGTGAGCTGCTTTTAAAACTCTCCTGAATGAAAACCGTTTCTGTGGGATTCCTCATGTGGGAGCTCACCGACCGCTGTTAGGAAGCCAATTTGAATAACAAATTATTTTTTTTTACCACTTCAATCAAAAGGTAGGATCATAAAACAACTGCTTTGGCAGGGCTGAACATTAATTAGTGATTCAGAAGTTCGAGCTCCGCGTGGCAGTAATATATTGGAGGATACTGCTGTTGAAAGCAGCAGAGAATGCTCGCTGGGCACATTAAAATGATTTGCTGAAGTCATTAAGAGCAGATTTGTTGTGCGTACGGTTTGTTGCCAATAGAGCATCTGTAACCTGATGCTAATGCTGTAATAATTCATGTTGTTTGAGGGGAGTGAATGAATTAGATTATTGTCCACTATCTTCATGCCGTAACTCGCTATCAGGACATTGACAGTTCCCTCATTAGGCATAACATTATGACCACGGCGTCATTCGAAGCAGGTTGGACTGATTGGGCGGGAAGTGAGGCCAGATTTTTTTCTTTTTAGTTTAGAGCTTGTTTTTATTTGTTTTTGTGGCATTATGCGGGAGTTTGTGCGTCGCTGGCTGGGCTGACAGGTGGATGCAGTGATCAACGAGCAAATGTTTTCTGGCTCGCTTCCTGCAAGGGATGCAAAACAACAGATGGAATATGGCCACTCTCTGTTGCCTGAGAAGATCTTAAATGTCTTTGTCTGCATTTAGGCTGTTTATGATGTCAGCTGAGGCTACGTGCTACGGTTGTTTCAAGCAGTGCCAGCTCATATTTATAAGCAGCTGGGCTGGAAAAGCTGATGATGATGATGATGGTGATAAACCATTGCCTCCTCTTCTCAGGCAAAAGCCTTGGGACTTTGTGGCTCTTTGCACACCCTGCTGCCTGCCTGTCACCTCTGGCACAGCTGGCCTGCCTATATTTAGAGAGCTATTAGCTCCCCCCCTGGCAAGATTAATGGAGTGGGAGGAAGATGAATGGAAGAGCTGGAGGTTGAAGCTTTGTCGCCATCTCTTCCACACCGTTCTGCTGACACACAAATTATCCTGAAAATAGAGGGAATGAAAGAGCAATGTAGGCAAATCTTACTCCATCACAATTTGTCCCCCAGATTTTATCGCTTTTTCAAACCAAAAATGCAGTAAAGCAGAGAAACGTCGCCGGGGCCTGTTACCTGTTTGACTAGATCTGTTATTTCAGAAGCTAAATTCTAAATATAGATGCATATTTTTCAGCTGTGGCTTCAGGCTTTAGAGTTTAGCTCCATTCTCAAGGAAGTTGTAGATTTTATTTTGTTCCACTGTTTGCTTGAGGATAAACGTGATCATTTGAGTTAATGACTGAACAAATCAATAAAACAGTTTAAATGTGTCTCTGGAATAGAGCTGGCTGATGTGAACTACATAATGGGTGATATTATAACTTTCCTTTGCTGTCTTTCTCGGTTAACTCAATGGCTGTGATTACTTAGCACAGCCAACATAGCATCACAAGCACAAATAAGAATATATACATTTAGATTCTGCAGGATACAAGAGTCCCGTGAAGAAGTATGAGTTTTAAAGCTAAGCAACTCATAGTGTGTGGGGGGTGGTGGCCTAGTGCTTAGAGCATAGAACTTCCTGAGGTTGGGAGTTCGAAACCCAGTCCCACAGACTGCCACTCTGGGTCCCCTAGAAAAAAACCCTTAACCCCACACTGCTCCCCGGGCGCCGCACGATGGCAGCTCGCTGCTCCCCAAGGGGATGGGTTAATGCATGGAGCGAATTTCGTTGCTCTGTTCTTGTGACAGTGGAATGATAATAAATCGCTGGGGAAAAAAAAAAAATACAGGTAGTAACTTTTAATGATATTCTCTAAATTTGTCAATGACCGAATGGAAAAAATTATTAAAGATGGAACATAAAAAGTTCTAAGAATTGACCCAGTTTCCGGGGCTTTTAATCATCATTGTTTAATTTATGGTTTATGCAATAGATCAAAATCCTTACCATGAATGGAAACCTTCGACGTTAAAAGATACGATAAATGCCCAAGCCTAGTCTGGACCATCGTCATCTGGTTGCTTTGATTTTGGAAGTAAGGGCTGGTTATCCTCCCGCAGCAGTGTGTCGCAGTGAGCTTGTTGCAGATACTTTTGATTTATGCCCCATTTTGAAGCGTGGTCTGCGCCACAACGCAAGAGGGACAATCAAAGAACTAGCTGTGGGTCTAGATACGGCCGAGGCGGTGAGGAAGTGGGGACAAGTTTGTGCGACAACAGAGGGACATGAGGGCGAAACAGAGCGGGGATCAAGGTGGAGAAAGGATCCCAGCGTTCTTGCGCACCTCGCTCTTCTAGCTGGTCCATCTTCATGAGTCGTTTTCCACAATGGTGGTCATACAAACAAAACAAGCCGGTAAGGTACCACCTACAATTTTGGAGAATTGCAGCAGAGTGTCTGCAGGAGTGGTGGGGGCGTATCTGCGTCAACTGCGACACGCATGCAGACGACCTGGTTTCTGAGTATAAATGAGCCTTAACCCCACACTGCTCCCCGGACGCCGCGCGATGGCAGCCCACTGCTCCCCAAGGGGATGCGTTATGTGCAGAGAGTGTGTAATGACAATATAATGCTGACATTTTTTTTTATGATATTTTTTTTTTTTTTTATACTTTTATTTTTATAGGCAAGGCATTAAGAACAAGTTCTTATTTACAATGACGGCCTGGAAAGTGGAGTAGTAACCACTTATGAAAAGGAAAGTAGGGTGCAATGACAATTAAATTAATTAAATAACACGTCGAACACATATATTCTTAGAATTCACCCGGTTTCCAGAGTTTTTAATCATCTTTGTTGTCTTATTTATGGTTTACGCAATAGATCAAAATTATAACCATGAATGGAAACCTTTAAGGATAAAAAATATGATAAATGCCCAAGCTTAGTCTGGGCTATTGTCATCCAGTTGATTTAATTTTGGAAGTAGTTTGGTCTCTTTAGCATTCTGTCATATTACCTGGCAGCAAAACAACCCCACAGCATCAGGCTACCACCGCCGTGTTTAACCTAAACTCCTCCAAACAGGCATTATGACTAAACCTGATAATCTTTGACATGTTTGACAGTGACCTTTGTTCTGTATTGAATGAGTTTTCCCTTTTTATCATAAGTTATAGTTTGATTCAGAGGGTCACCAACTTGTATGTGAATATCTCCCCATAACTGTGAGAATAACGGTTAACCTTAAAATACGAATTATTTCTGACCCTCTGTGTTTGGTAAACGCAGGGATGACACGTCTGGAGAGGATGCAGAGGACAAGGAGCCCACAGTGGCCTTCAAGGGAAGACGAACAGCAAACAGTCAGGGGCGCCGCAAAGGCCGCGACACGCGCTCCATGAACAGCGAGGGAGAGGAGACCACCACGCCACCGCTAAACAACGAGCTAGGTCAGTCCCAGATGGTCCGCTTCCATTTTTCATGCTGTTTCTACTAAAAAAACAGACTGCTGTTTAAAAAAATGGATTCAGGTAAACATGAACTGCTAAAGAAAGGCACTTTGAATAAGACTTCTAAATTCTTAAATTAAAATTTGTAACTGGATGTCAAACATATCTATTTTTAATATGATGAAGGAAAATTTGGTGGATTAACAATTAAAATAAAAACTGCCATCTGAATGGAGCAGAGTGACCGTAGATCCCCTTATAGCGTCCTGCCCTGAACCACCAGAGTGTACTGTTGTTCTGTCCTCTTTATTTCCCTTATCTCTAAACTCATTTACGAACAGAACGTGCAAAGTTAGCATATTTCAAAATAAATCTCTGTAAAGTGCTCCCCCCCGTCGTTAATGACAGACTTTATCAGCAGTGTTGGATTTCCTGTTCTCCCCCCCAGATGGTAATTTTTTTTTTTTTGGTACACTAACACTTGCTGCAGGCTGGTGGAGGATCTGTGATGTTTCAGCAGTTGTGTGCATGCCGCAGTCGTTCCCGCATCACAGGGATTCCCCAGGTGACAAGGGGCCGTGGGGACTGGTGATTCAGTCCCACCCCCTACTACTGCTGGGTGTCCTGCCAGCAGTGTTGCCAGCCGGCTCACTGTACCCTTGATGAGTCCATCTAGAGGACGTAGAAGTGCAGGCTCCAGCCGTCCTGACAGGCTGGCTCGTGGCCCGCGCAGCGAACGCAGCCAGTTGTTATGTCTATAATCATTAACTGACTTCTCTCCTTGGATTTCCTGCTCCCTCCATCTATAAAAAAAAAAAAAAAGAAATAATGCTTAGCAACCAAAGCTGCAGTGGCAAGAAGCACAAGCTGCCCTCCACCACCCCCTCCCTCCCATCCTTTTATTGTTTTTTTTTTTCGATTCATTTCTCTGCTTCCTTTCCTAATGTCAGTCACTCCCTAACTGACTCTATGACAACTGCCCAGTCCCCCGCCTCCTCCCGCCTTCTCTAACTTGCTGCTTCTCTATTTTTTTTTGACAGCCAATCTGGAAATGAATGAGAGCTCTCGCTGGACTGAAGAAGAGATGGAAACAGCCAAAAAAGGTAAAGCAGATAAAACTTTCTTTCTCTTGTTGGGTGTAGCTTGGTCAGTCTTTTTGTGCATTGTAACGCTGTTTTCAAATGTTACGGTCTGCGGAGTGTTTAAAAGCATCGCCGACTTATGCGGGTGTGACTTCCTGTTGGAGAGGCGGCAGCTGCCACGTGCTGCTAGGTTGTGTCTGTGCATGTATTTCTCAGTCTGCCTGGAAGGCGTTTGCCGCTCTTTGGAGCCGTTTCCCTTCCTCTGTAGGTCAAGGCAGCTTCTCTTTTATCAGGAAGGCTGTAAAGTCTGTCCCTTATCAGTGAGCCCCTGCAAATGCAGCAGTCATTAACCCGGGCTGTTTATTGTCCCTGACTGAAGATTACCCAAAAGCCTATGGCTGATTTGCAGAGGTCACTGCCATGGTGCCTGTTTGGCAAGGCTCTAGCTCTCTGTGTGAGTGTATCTGAAAGTATTTGATATGTATATTGCTTGAACCTCGGTTACTGATTAATTGAGCTTCACAGATTCACTGAGCTCTTCTGCAAAACACTCTTTTACTTTTACTTATTTCATGTGGGATCTTTATTATAATTTCCTTCAAATGTGTTTTTAATATTTAATACTATTTTGTAATTATTTCAATCTTGGCTTTTTGCATGACCAACTTTCCATCTGGGGCTGAAACAATTGGATTAAAATGACTATTGAAATAATCGTCAACTAATTTAGTGACCAATTGATCTTTAACTTGAGTATAGATACTGTAAAACATGCCTTTAGCTGCAAGAGCAACACGCTTAGAGCAATATTTATGTCAAAATTATAAAAAAAATATGTAAATATTTTGGATTTAGGAAAAGAAAATGTTTTTGACAGTCAATATGCTCTATCCAGAACTCCTCAAGTGGAAAAGTTTTAGCTTCGCCTGGTTTATTTGTAAAAAATCTTCTTTTGCTATCAGATTATCAATCGAATATTCAAAAGAACAATTAAAGATTAATCGTTTTGCAAAATACTCATTAGTTGCAGCCCTATTTCCATCCCTCTCAGTGTAATAAATATGTCTTTATTATCTTGAGATGCACCAGTTATAATTTCTTTGTAAAGTTGAGACCTGCAGATATAACTTTTAGCTGAATTCACTTTCGCTTTGATAACTATATTTAATGTAGAAAAGCAATCAAGTAAAGATTAATTGATTATTTTTGAAAATGAAGACAAAATGATCACAGAAACCCTTCACAGTATTTGTGTATTTATTGCAGATATAATTATTCAAACGGCAGTCTCTGTGTATATTCTGTGGGGATTAAAGAACTGTAATCTGTTTTTGAGAAATAAAAGATTTCCAACATTTTCAGGTTTTAACAAAGAAAGAGGTTGGATATTAAATCTTAAAGGTAGGACTGTCCTGTTCCGATATTGGATATGGGTCCAATATTGGTCTAAAAACTAACTTCTGATTATATCGGCCTGCATTAAAATCAAATCAGTTTATGTCTATAGCGTCAATTCACAACACGTCATCTCAAGGCTCTTTACAGTTCACCAGATCATCCAGTCAGATTGATTCAAAGTTTTCTATCTAAGGAAAACCAATAGGGGGTTTTCAGGTGACGTCACGCTCACGTGACTACTCAGCGCGTCCGCCATATTGGGTGGCAGCCTTAAGCAGTATTGACAGTGAAAAATGGTGAAATCGTGTGTAATTGTTGGTTGCACGGCCCGTGGAGGTGGAGATCAACGCTCTTTCTATCGCATACCAGCCGTAATCGTGAATCAATGTGAAAAAACAAAACAGCTATCTGAACAACGCCGTCACCTATGGCTGACACGGATATCCAGGTCCGATTTGGACGGTGTGAAGCTGGAATACGCCAGAGTCTGCAGTGCTCACTTTGTCACAGGTAATTAACTGTCAAGCATTTAAAACATGTAAGAATATATTAATAATAGGGCTAGGGCGTCATGACGTATTACTTTCCGTGGCCGCAATGTTGACAGTTTCCGCCGCCGCTACTCAGACTACTGCCTATGACTACCGCGTACTGGACTCCCTCTCTCAGCCGTGTTTTAATTTGATTAATTTCATCTTAACTTGATTTCAACCAGCGGGAAAAGGCTCAAATATCTGAGAAACCCGGAGGGTTCAGGGAGGTTTGGCAGTTAACGTTACTAACCTAACCTTTGAAAAACATAGCAGCTAGTTAAAAGTACATTACATGCCTGAGTGGTTATTAGCACTAACGGTTAGCACTGTTTGCTGGCTTTATGAGCTGCAGCTCCTGAACCCATCCATTCGTAAACTGCACATGAGACTCCAAGGACTTGTAGCTTTGGAACTGTTCGCGCACCGCCGGCCGTTAGCCACCTAGCATAGCGAGCCCTGCGACGGATTTTTTACATTTTTACCATCTTATTAAAACTCAACCGTCCACGTATGATGGCGATTTCCTTCATGTACATCACTTCGACATCTCGTACCCAACCAGATGGGAACTGGTTGTGAGCCTCTAGACCCTTATACACTCTCATTTCCTCAAGAGTGTGCAGAGGGTTTTCACTGAACACCGGGTAATGAACTATGTCACCGTGCTCTACATTTGGCCAATCATCTGGATTAGTGCTAAACAAGGCACCGTGGAGGGCATAGGGGTCCATATGGTCGATCACGGAACATTTCCTCAGACAGGTTCCATGATCTGGTGGCTCTAGCGTGCTGGCGTACTTATCCATTCGCGACATGATATATATGATATACGATAATATGCCACCCAAGATGGCGGACCAGAAGCTGGCCAGTGACGTCACTGAAAACCCCCTATTGATTGCATCGACTCAATGACTTGAAGACAATCTCTAACACCAAGCGTAGTGACAGTAGAGAGGAAAAACTCCCTTTTAACAGGAAGAAACCTCCAGCAGAACTAGTTCTGGTATCAGCGGCCATTTGCCGAGGCCGACTGGATGGGATATTTTTCAAGGTTAAAGAAAACAAAAGCGGAGATACAAAAAGCAACTGTAAAAGCCAGTCATCCAGCCAGTCACAGAGAAACAGGACTACACTGAAAAACAGGCCGATCTCCAACATCTATAAACAAAGGTGTTCATTAAAATCTCCAATACTGTCATGCTGATAGAAACTCTGCTTCCGTTTTAACTTTCCGTAGCCCATTGGGTCAGAAGTTCTCATACCTGTTGTTGTTGACTATTGTTCAGTAATATTACTTCATTAAGCCTTTCCTAATATTCTAAGGTACAAAGTAATTAATTAAAGGCTGTATGATCCATGCTGATATCGTATCGGGTCAATACCTGTATTGGTGAATTCTAAAGCTACAATATTGGCATCGTATCAAAAATGAAAAAGTTGCATCAGGACACCCCTACCTAAAGGGATTTATGAGTAGTTGAAAACAGCCTACATGTGCTCCTATTAACTTAAAAAGTCCATGACACAAACTCATAATTGCAATATGTTGGTGAAGATCCAGGTTATGGTCATTACAAAAAAAGAAAATTCAAAAGGGGTGGGCCCCTTCGTCCATTTCAAGTTGCATGTTTCCTAAACAAAAACAAGGTTTTGATGGGCTACTGTATAAAACTTAGAACTCAACGCTATTCCTGGCACTTTGAATTGGAAAAGCTTCCTGGATGGTAGGCAAAATGTCTTCAAACTTGGAAACAAAGTCTAGTGGATGGTTTTTAACTTTCTTTGGCATAATTGCGATATAGTGTTATATAGAGTGCTTTAGTTGCAGACTGAACGGTCAGGACGGGATCAAGCTGAAATCTTCTGCTTCCCATCGCCTCTTGATTTCTTGGTGCTATTTTGTCCTTCATATGGGGCTTTTAATATTGAACTAGAGTCTGGAATCGCTCTCTATTGTTTAAGGCAGCAGCTATTTTGGGGGTTTGTGTGTACCGTAGCTTCTATTGTGGCCTCTGACTGCTTCTTGTCATTATTTCTCCATGTCCTCCATTTGAAATCTGGAGGAAAAGAAATTACAGTCCACAAATGAAACCGACTTTACATCTGCTTAGCTTTAGGTAGCGTCTCCTGGGAACCGCCGTTTTCTTCCTGAGTTACGAGGTCATTTTGCGATAACTGCCGCTGGCCTTGCTTGAACACGGTCCTGTGTAGTAATCCTGGTTAATGTCTTCAGTTCCATTCTCCTGCTGTGGGATTATTGGGGCACTCCATCCCAGAGGATTAGCCTGGCAGCTCAACCGAAGCAGAGCTTCTATGAAGGGCTTATGTAACCGCAAACACAGGACTCCAGCTACAGTTCAGTCGAGCTGACGAGAAGGAGCTGCTCTGGATGTTTTTCCTCCGTTCCTATGACCATCCTCTAACCTGCCTCAAGGGGTAGCCTCATTTCCCAAACAGTACCACCCTCCTTTATGCGTTTCTGTACAGTTCTCCAAGCTTCATGCGTTTATTTTTTGAAAGAAGCTTAGGTGTCCTGATGCTATTGTATTTATCCCCTTGAGCTAACTAGATCTGAATAATGACATTACAGTTCTTGGCAGAACATCGGCACTCCATTGTGTTGTTGCCAGCCAGTTTAGCCTTAAGCGATGACTCTGCCACTCTACTCAGATGGTGGAGGGATCAGACTTTTCCTGGCTGGCTCTGATTTCAAACTTGCAAGGCTGAGATTTTGGCAGATTGATTTGTTTTCCTTAGGACTATTGTGCATAAGAGACTCATCTTCTTTAATAGATGTATGTATGAGAATACATCAAAACTTTAATTTTTTTCCCCCTTTTTTTAACTCATAAAATGACTTTGGAGTACATGTTGTTGGGTTTGTTAAATGCAAATAGAAGGAATTGATAGTTTTGACACATTTCCTGAAATGGAGCCAGGTTGGTGTGTACTTTAGCTGCCTGTGAAGGTGGAACCGGCCTATTTGATTTATGCATCTTGGTTTTAAATCACTTTAAACCCTCCCTTTATGTTCAAGCTAAGGTTGTGTTTGCGTGCTCCTGGGTCATGTTTAAGCCTTCATGTTATCTTTTCAAAGTTTTGCTCTCTTGCAGAGACAAAAAAAGTTTCCTTTTGCATAGCTTTTTAATCTATCTGGTTTCTCTGACTTCATTTTAAACATTTTATTAATACAGAAAATGGCCATTGTAGAGTATTTATCCACCCGCTTTGTCTTCCACACCAGCGGATTGTGATTAGCCCTACCTGTTAGCACTTAGGGATGGTTTCTTCACCGGTTGGACTAAGGTCCAAGTTTAAAGAGTGCTTTAGTTGCAGATTGGACGGTCAGGACGGGATCAAGCTGAAAATCTTCTGCTTCCCATCGCCTCTTGATTTCTTGGTGCTATTTTGTCCTTCATATTGGGCTTTTAATAGATGTATGTATGAGAATACATCAAAACTTTAAGTTTTTTTCCCCCCTTTTTTAACTCATAAAATGACTTTGGAGTACATGTTGTTGGGTTTGTTAAATGCAAATAGAAGGAATTGATAGTTTTGACACATTTCCTGAAATGGAGCCAGGTTTGTTTGTACTTTAGCTGCCCGTGAAGGTGGAACCGGCCTATTTGATTTATGCATCTTGGTTTTGAATCACTTTAAACCCTCCCTTTATGTACAAGCTAAGGTTATGTTTGCGTGCTCCTGGGCCATGTTGTCTGCTGGGTGTCACATTTGGCTTTTAGAGGCTGGGGTGGGTGCTTATGTAAATTCCTGAATCTGCCGGGTTTTGCAGGAGCATCAGGTAGAGAAGGCTGTGTTATCTCCTCTTTCTTTATTGCTCCTTGGTCCTCCCTCTCTCGCTCCAGTCTCTGCGTTGGAAGATGGCAGCGGCCCAGATTGGCAAGAGCTGTGGAAGATTTGGCAAACACCTCTCCCCCCAGTCTCTCTCTCTCGCTCTCACTCACTCGCTCTGTGTTGTTATAAACTGGAGTGGTCAGATTCAAGATGAAAAGCAGGTCAGTCAGGAAAAATGTGAAAGCCTTTCTGCTTTCTCATGGTATCAACATCAACTCCTTTCTCTCCCGCCTGTGAGCCCCTCTCCTCTTTCCAAGCTTATTCTCCACTTCTGTATCCTTTCCTTTCCCTTTCTCCATTGTCTCTGTGGCCGGGCTCCCTCTCTATCTCTTTCCTCTCCCTTGCCGCTCTCTGTTTACTCTTGGATTGCCTGAATGTGTGTTTGTGTCTGTGTGCAAGAGTATTAACAAGAGAGACGGAGGGAGGGAGTGGGGAGTTCTAGGGAGTTTGTACTCACTCATGCGTTTGCGTCCGTTTTGGAGAGTGTGTGCGTGCGTGCTGCCGTGCCTGCTGGCAGAGTTAGGCAAGGGGCGGGACAGACTGACGGAAAGAGAGAGGGAGGGAGGGAAAAAAAGATAGGAGAGATCAGATGAGGGAGAGAAAGGCTGAGTGCAGAGCGCCGCCCCACAGTCCCACTTTCCTGTGGAAGTCTTCTCAGACGACCGCCATTGGGGGAGAGGCGCAGCACAGATCAGCGCAGCGGCACTCACCGGAGCGCTGGGAGGAAGAAAGGGAAATAAGAAGTAGGCTCGGAGCATGTGCCATTTCCAAGCATGTCAACCTGACACCGGCTCAAGTTTCCAGCCAGCTGGCAGGAGGAGCGCCGTGACCGAGCTGTTTTCATCTTCTCCGCTCTGGATCGGAAGGCCCAGCCCAAAAAGAGCTTCCAAGCGGGAGCTCTAAAGATCCAGGCTTCTGATAAGCGTCACTCGGGCGCTGAGCCACAAACAGACGACTGAAGTCAGACACAGGCATGTGACAGACAGGAACAACAACTTTCTGGCCGCACCAGGTGTTGATTGGACTTTCTTTGGGAGGGGCTAACGGAGATGGAGGGTTGTGATTGGGTGTAAAGCCACCACCTGTTTCAGTAAGCCTGCTCCTCATTGGATGTTTGTGCCATGTGTGCTCCTGCATCAGCTAAGTTTCTGAGTTAAGCAGAGCTGATTTGTATTGTGTGTTAATTCAACAATGTATGGCTTGCTGTCAGGGCTAAGCAGTCTTTCCCTCTGTGTAGGATCAACATCTCTTAGTGTTTTAGCTTTAATGCATGCTGCAGAGTTTGTCTCCCTCGGTTAAATATGCATATTTGGTCACTAATGGTGCCTCGGAGCATGTTGGGTAACGAGGTACTTATAGGGCAATGAAATCCCCCTCCCTCTTCTCCATTTGTGGGACGGCTGTAAAAAGGTTCATGTGTGTTTGTCACATGTTTTGGTCCTCATGGCGAGAATCAGAAAAACTAGCTTGATTTCTGCTCTATAGGCTGTTCTAGCAATGCCTGCTAGCAAAGAAACAGCTTTTTAATCTGAAGGATAATCTTCAGTAAGTGGCTGATATACATCAGAAACTCAGGCTTGAACACATGCTTGTTTTCAACATCAGTCCGTAGAAAAGCTTCAATATAAATGTTGACTTTAAGTAGTTTTTTTTTTTTCTTTTGCTCTATTCAAATTCCTCTGCTGACGGAATGGAAAAACATTTTATGGATTTATAAAGTTTTGTGCAGCAATGCACAGATAAGAATCTTGAGGACAATTTCTAATCCCTGGTTTTTGTTACTATCTAACCATTTGACACCTACGTTGGTTGATTTTGGTTTCTCTTTAAAGTTAATATAGTAACAAGATAACAAAACAGTTCAGAATATTCTGTAGGGGGATGTCACACTGGGTGTATAAAAGCGAGAGAAGGGTTGTACTAATTTAGAACAGATATAAAATGATTATGGAGCTGGCTTTATGGTCATATGCTGGGAGTGACTAGTGTGGAAACCGTACCTGCAGCAGATGGCTCTGTGATTGTATTCTAGAGCTGGGTTATCCAGCCCTGAAGAGGCCCTGCTAAAGCTATTTCTGCCGTTTGATCGAAGCGTGTTTGGGAAAATAATGCATCTGAGTTTTGCAGGACAGCAGCAGCCGAGCTGCAGTTCTTAAACCCCTGTCCTGGAAAATGTAGACCTTTACTTAAACTTAGAGATGTCCTAAAAATAGCCAACTTTTATTATAGTATCGAAATTATATACTTAGCAGCGATAAGTGTAGCCTTCCTGTTATCTCATCGACTCTCTCGTTCTTCTGTAGTCTGGATAAACTACAGACATGCAGAACGTCTCTTTATGCATTTGGAAATGGCTCATTTCTACTAAAAATATCCCATCTTGTTTCTTCTTTACTCAGTAACCACGTCCCCACTGAAGTGCGTTGTCTGTGTATCCTGTGGGCAGGTTCTGTGTCACTTTGCAACGTTCAGGTCTATGCAATACCATTTCAACCAGTTTTTTCTCATGACATTAAACTTTTTCATTAAGCATTTCATGAACCTTGAAGGTAAATAATGCAAAGATCATAAAAGGCCATCTGAAAAGTATTTTTACTCCAACCTCATTTACTGAGCTGTGATTTTTCTTTATACTCAACTTTGAATGTGACTCCAGATCCACTCGAACAAAGTTTTGTGACTTCCTGCTATTAGAGGTTATTTATTAGAGTTGCATAACCATTTTCCATGCCGTAAACTCTCAGAAGGACATAGACAGGGACTTTAAACCATCAGCTCTAGAAGCAAAATAACAGAAAAGTTAAAACCAGGTCAAACCAGGCGAGTCTTGTTGGAGTCCATCGATGTTTTGGAGTTTTTGGCTGGGTGTTCAAATGTTAAACTGATCCCCCCAACAGACGGCTTATCTCTGTTTAGTTTAGATACGCTTTTTAGCAAGCAAAAATAATGTGGGAGACTCTTGTTTTATTTATTTATTCCAAACAAGCAGTAGTCCAACATTTAGTTTAGCTGTTATTCATAATCTCATTGCCGATTTGCTTCATTTAGCGTCAGCGACTGTGGAAGCGAATTGTAAAAATCTGCCTTTCCCTCTCATGCAGCTTCCTCTAGCCTCACCAGCTCCATTAAGCGATGAGATGCAGGGACCTCTGAACCCCCTTAGCCAAGGTTATCCCAAGATGTGCTGGCTCTGTGCCTGTTAATAACACCCCCACCCCGACAACCTTTCAAGAATCTGTCCCGTTGCCAAGACCTGTCAGGCTGGCACAGGAAACAAGTGGGTGGTGTAAACTAAGCCTCTTACAACACACACAGTTAATGAGCTGCCTTTGGCTAGCTGCAGACTCTAGGAGAGGGGGGGGGTACTGGAGCAAAATTCTGCACGGTCTTTCTCACTGGGGCTTGCACGCTGTGACTGCTCGCCATAGCTCTTCTTTTAGCTGCTATAGAGCGGGATTGTTGATGTGTGTGCGTAAGGGGAGCTTGTGTGCTTCCTGACAGGTTGATCTATCACAGCTCGGGCCCAGCGGGTGCCTGTTGACTCTTGTGTAAGACACAATCATGTGCTTGGCTGGCTAAAGGACTTGGGTTTCTTGGAATTGGGTCACATCAAAGTCCGTTATAAATATGACACAAAGTCACCTGAGAGGGAAGAGTTACTGATGTGTCCGGCGTGAGTGATGGTCCACCTACCGCAGCGCGCCCTTATCGTTCACACTACGCTGTGTGTTTACGAGGTTTCAGCCAACTGCTCTTGATGCAGCTGATGTATTACATAAAACTAGTCCAGTGTGTGTTTTGAGCTTCTTGGTGGGATGGTTTTGCCTTTTGATGAAGATAATCTATTTGCTATAATTGGCTCCTTTAGCTGCTGTTCTTCACAGAATCGTGATAAAAGCCTTCTTTGCCATGTCTCTTTTTTTTATCGCCTACTAATTCCCATCACCCTTGTCGGTTCCAGGTCTTCTCCAGTATGGTAGAAATTGGTCCGCCATCTCCAAGATGGTGGGATCAAAAACCGTGTCACAGTGCAAAAACTTCTACTTCAATTACAAGAAGAGGCAGAAACTGGACGAGATTCTGCAGCAGCATAAAATGAAATCAGTAAGCGAGTCTTACCTGCTTCACATAATGCTGACGCTTGTGCTTTGCTGTGTCTCCTGGGCTTTCCTGTGAACCATGTTTGTGTTTTAACTCAGGAGAAAGAGCGAAAGGCCCGTCGGAGGGGAAAAGCCTCGCAGAACGAAGAGGCCAGCGCTCAGTATCCAGCGGAGGAGGAGGACAACGAAGGCTCAGGAGGCAGCTGCAATGAAGAGGAGGCTCCTGAAGATGGAGAAGGTATAGCAGTACTTTAGATTTGGAATATTAATGCTAAAATGTCATCCCAGTGCTAAAATGATGAAAAAAGAGGGTTGTGTTTAGTTGTAATCAAAAAAATCAAAGTTTCCTTACAAAATGCACATGTTTTGACTTCCTTCATTAGGGCAAAATAGAAAGGTATATTTCAATCCTCATTTAAAATAATAATGATAATGATTTATAATTGGCAAACTGCTGGGTGCATTAAGGTTTCCATTTTTTCTGGTCTCTTAGTGAGCTTTAACCATGCTCAGGACTGCGCACCAATCTAGCGTCTCTTAGCATTGATCCGGATCATTTTGTCGTAGCTAATCTGTAAACAGGTAGCATTAGCTCATCTCTAAAAGTTTACTACATCAGTGTTGGAGAAGCGGGAGCTTTACTGACCTTTTTAATTTTTTCTCAGACATCAGTGTCTAGGTGTTAGCTTGTAGCATTAGCACAGGTAGCACGAAGCAACCATAAGCATTTCTTTTCTCCCTCAGTCGGCCTGAAAGGGAAAGTTCCTTTGAAATATGCTTTTGTTGGCCTTGTCGGCTAAAAAGAGTCAAACATGTTTGTTTGTTTTAATGAACCCATCATGTCAGCTGAAGGTAACAGTTACAGCAGCAGCTTATTCTCTTAGTCTGTTAGCATTGTAGGAGGGTACTGACTGTCTCTGATATCACAGCGCTGCTGCATGAAGAGGTCTGAAAATGTGACCAATCTCAGTCAGGCTCTTTAAATAATTAGTTTTGCTATCAAATATTTTGGAAAAAAAAACCCAACAAAAATGTTATCATAAACTAAAGACCGTTGATCTCAGTAGACCCCAAGTTAAACTCTTTCTGCTTTTACACTTCATTCTACGTATTTTTGATTTTTGCTAAGTTCATCATTGATTCTGTGATATCTGGGATCTTTCTGCTGCTTAATTCGACAAAAGCTTCATGCAAACTGTTCATCTGTCCTTCTCTGCCTTTACAGCAGGGTTCCTTTAGGTAAAGAGAAGCTGACAGCAGAAAAAACAAATCTTTGGAGATCCCCTTCCAACACTGCAGAGATGGCAGATTGTCTTCCGAATTAACAACTCGGAGACACTCAATTAAATGTGTTCAAGAACTCAGACTTGCTGAGTGTTGATTGCTAGTAAAGTTTAATTTACCAGCTAAACCTAGTGAGCACATCTCCGTGGGAACTTTATAGGCGTGCAATACATGTCAACTTTGGTTTATAGAAACATGCTCTATGTGGTGCGTTTCAGCAAAGTGGTGAATCCTTAGATCACATCCATCATTTTGGTTGGTTTTATGTTGCTCCTTTATTTTTTGGTGAAACTTATGGAAGCCCGTTTCCGCCACTCTGTAAAAAAATAAAAAATAAAAAAATCTCATTATAATGAAATAGTATCTCATTATATTGAGTTACTATCTCATTATAATAAGATATTATTTCATTATATTGAGTTAGCATCTCATTATATTGAGATATTTCATTATATTGAGTTAGCATCTCATTATATTGAGATATTTCATTATATTGAGATATTATTTCATTATATTTAGTTAGCATCTCATTATATTGAGTTAGCATCTCATTATATTGAGTTAGCATCTCATTATATTGAGTTAGCATCTCATTATATTGAGTTAGAATCTCATTATATTGAGTTAGCATCTCATTATATTGAGTTAGCATCTCATTATATTGAGTTAGAATCTCATTATATTGAGTTACTATCTCATTATAATAAGATATTATTTCATTATATTGAGTTAGCATCTCATTATATTGAGTTAGCATCTCATTATATTGAGTTAGCATCTTATTATATTGAGTTACTATCTCATTATAATAAGATATTATTTCATTATATTGAGTTAGCATCTCATTATAATAAGATATTATTTCATTATATTGAGTTAGCATCTCATTATTTTGAGTTAGCATCTCATATTGAGTTACTATCTCATTATAATAAGATATTATTTCATTATATTGAGTTAGCATCTCATTATATTGAGTTAGCATCTCATTATGTTGAGTTAGCATCTCATTATATTGAGTTACTATCTCATTATAATAAGATTTTATTTCATTATATTGAGTTAGCATCTCATTATTTTGAGTTAGCATCTCATATTGAGTTACTATCTCATTATATTGAGTTACTATCTCATTATAATAAGATATTATTTCATTATATTGAGTTAGCATCTCATTATATTGAGATATTATTTCATTATATTGAGTTAGCATCTCATTATATTGAGTTAGCATCTCATTATATTGAGTTAGCATCTTATTATATTGAGTTATTATCTCATTATAATAAGATATTATTTCATTATATTGAGTTAGCATCTCATTATATTGAGTTAGCATCTCATTATTTTGAGTTAGCATCTCATATTGAGTTACTATCTCATTATAATAAGATATTATTTCATTATATTGAGTTAGAATCTCATTATATTGAGTTAGCATCTCATTATATTGAGTTGCTATCTCATTATAAGATATTATTTCATTATATTGAGTTAGCATCTCATTATTTTGAGTTAGCATCTCATATTGAGTTACTATCTCATTATAATAAGATATTATTTCATTATATTGAGTTAGAATCTCATTATAATGAAATAGTATCTCATTATATTGAGTTACTATCTCATTATAAGATATTATTTCATTATATTGAGTTAGCATCTCATTATATTGAGTTAGCATCTCATTATATTGAGTTAGCATCTCATTATATTGAGATATTTCATTATATTGAGTTAGCATCTCATTATATTGAGATATTATTTCATTATATTTAGTTAGCATCTCATTATATTGAGTTAGCATCTCATTATATTGAGTTAGCATCTCATTATATTGAGTTACTATCTCATTATAATAAGATATTATTTCATTATATTGAGTTAGCATCTCATTATATTGAGATATTATTTCATTATATTGAGTTAGCATCTCATTATATTGAGTTAGCATCTTATTATATTGAGTTACTATCTCATTATAATAAGATATTATTTCATTATATTGAGTTAGCATCTCATTATATTGAGTTAGCATCTCATTATATTGAGTTAGCATCTCATTATATTGAGTTAGCATCTCATTATATTGAGTTAGCATCTCATTATATTGAGTTACTATCTCATTATAATAAGATTTTATTTCATTATATTGAGTTAGCATCTCATTATTTTGAGTTAGCATCTCATATTGAGTTACTATCTCATTATAATAAGATATTATTTCATTATATTGAGTTAGCATCTCATTATATTGAGTTAGCATCTCATTATGTTGAGTTAGCATCTCATTATATTGAGTTACTATCTCATTATATTGAGTTAGCATCTCATTATAATAAGATATTATTTCATTATATTGAGTTAGCATCTCATTATTTTGAGTTAGCATCTCATTATATTGAGTTACTATCTCATTATAATAAGATATTATTTCATTATATTGAGTTAGCATCTCATTATATTGAGATATTATTTCATTATATTGAGTTAGCATCTCATTATATTGAGATATTATTTCATTATATTGAGTTAGCATCTCATTATATTGAGTTAGCATCTTATTATATTGAGTTACTATCTCATTATAATAAGATATTATTTCATTATATTGAGTTAGCATCTCATTATATTGAGTTAGCATCTCATTATATTGAGTTACTATCTCATTATAATAAGATTTTATTTCATTATATTGAGTTAGCATCTCATTATTTTGAGTTAGCATCTCGTATTGAGTTACTATCTCATTATAATAAGATATTATTTCATTATATTGAGTTAGCATCTCATTATATTGAGTTAGCATCTCATTATGTTGAGTTAGCATCTCATTATATTGAGTTACTATCTCATTATAAGATATTATTTCATTATATTGAGTTAGCATCTCATTATTTTGAGTTAGCATCTCATATTGAGTTACTATCTCATTATAATAAGATATTATTTCATTATATTGAGTTAGAATCTCATTATAATGAAATAGTATCTCATTATATTGAGTTACTATCTCATTATAAGATATTATTTCATTATATTGAGTTAGCATCTCATTATATTGAGTTAGCATCTCATTATATTGAGTTAGCATCTCATTATATTGAGTTAGCATCTCATTATATTGAGATATTTCATTATATTGAGTTAGCATCTCATTATATTGAGATATTATTTCATTATATTGTGTTAGCATCTCATTATATTGAGTTAGCATCTTATTATATTGAGTTACTATCTCATTATAATAAGATATTATTTCATTATATTGAGTTAGCATCTCATTATATTGAGTTAGCATCTCATTATATTGAGTTAGCATCTCATTATATTGAGTTAGCATCTCATTATATTGAGTTACTATCTCATTATAATAAGATTTTATTTCATTATATTGAGTTAGCATCTCATTATTTTGAGTTAGCATCTCATATTGAGTTACTATCTCATTATAATAAGATATTATTTCATTATATTGAGTTAGCATCTCATTATATTGAGTTAGCATCTCATTATGTTGAGTTAGCATCTCATTATGTTGAGTTACTATCTCATTATATTGAGTTACTATCTCATTATAATAAGATATTATTTCATTATATTGAGTTAGCATCTCATTATAATAAGATATTATTTCATTATATTGAGTTAGCATCTCATTATTTTGAGTTAGCATCTCATATTGAGTTACTATCTCATTATAATAAGATATTATTTCATTATATTGAGTTAGAATCTCATTATATTGAGTTAGCATCTCATTATATTGAGTTGCTATCTCATTATAAGATATTATTTCATTATATTGAGTTAGCATCTCATTATTTTGAGTTAGCATCTCATTATTTTGAGTTAGCATCTCATATTGAGTTACTATCTCATTATAATAAGATATTATTTCATTATATTGAGTTAGCATCTCATTATATTGAGTTAGCATCTCATTATATTGAGTTACTATCTCATTATAAGATATTATTTCATTATATTGAGTTAGCATCTCATTATATTGAGTTAGCATCTCATTATATTGAGTTAGTATCTCATTATTTTCAGTTACTATCTCATTATAATGAGATAATTTTTTTTTATTTTTCACAGAGATGCGGAAACGGGCTTCCATAGAAACCTGTTTATTTAGAAAACTGGTTTTGTTAAATATCTGGTCTAGCTGATGGAGAAGAATTAAGGTCAGTGGGACAAAAGAATGATTATCAGTGTAGATCCTGATCCGTAGATATTTTTGCATCTCTCAGGTGGTGCAAACAACAGCTCGGACACAGAGAGCCTGCCCTCGCCACACTCCTCTGAGGACAGCAAGGCTAAAGAGGAAGGGACCAGCAGGCCAAAGGGCAGCTCCAACCCTGAGGAGAGGGAGGACAATCAGCCAGGAACAGGTCAGCCTGGGGAGGAGAAGCCTCCTGTCAAGGAAGAGGCTGAATCGGCTATAAAGCAGGAGATAAAGACAGAAACAGGGGAGCCCAACAAAGAAGAGCCACAGTCGGTACCAACAAACGATGCCGCGGATAAAAAACCTCCAAGAGTGGAGAAGGAGGAAGCTAAAACCTCCACGAAGAGCTCAAAAAAGGAGCACGTGACCAAAGCAGGTCCACATGGGGACAGCGACTCCAGCGCCACTTGCAGTGCTGATGAGGCGGAGGAGACGGATAATGCAGATAAGAAAAGGTGAGTCGTTTCTGATGTTTTAAGAAGATGGATCGGATAACACTTGAAATTCTGGCGGCTGATTTGACACATGTCTCTCTGGGTGTCCTGCTCCTTTGGTCTACCGCAGCAAACACCAGCAAACAAAGCAGTGAGGGTTTTGAAGAGGTATTAGTTGCCTAGGTACACTGTAAGGCAGGGAAACCATATTTGTCCAGCCACTTGTATGTGTGCCACAGGTTGCTGCTTTCCATCAGCCAAGGATTTTATTTCCACTTCGAATGAATGAAAAATATATTTACCGTGATGTATGATGTGTGTGTGCTGTGGGGGGGTATGAGTCTGTGAATGAGGCCAGAACAAATGGGTGTCAAAGTTCGTGGGAGGAATGATTAGTCCTGTTAACGCCGTGTTTGTTCACTTTTTCTTTTTTGTTTTTTTTCCATGACAGCAGACTGCGTGTACTGGCAGAGCTGAGGGAAATGTTGCCCTCTCTGCCAAAGCAAACAATAGAACGGGGGGGGAATATGTGTGTGTGGATGTGTGTGTTTGCCTTAGTAATCTTGTGCTGTGTGCTTCAAAGTGTGTCTTTGAGTCAGAGTTTGTTGTGTTTTTAGCATGTGTTGTACACACGCGAGTTATTCTTGTACATCTTCGCCACGGTCTTGCGTTGCATACCTTAGTTACCGCTGTGGGATGAGTATTGAGTAGGATTTTAGCGCCATATGAAGCCTATCAGAGCCAGAGCAAGTTGTTTACATGCTCCTAATAATTTCTGGATTATTATCTTATTGTTCATTTATTTGGACCCTTCTTGATAATAAAGTTAAAAACCATAACTTACAGGTGCTGGTCATAAAATTAGAATATCATGAAAAAGTAGATTGATTTCAGTAATTCCATTTAAAAAGTGAAACTTGTATATTATATTCATACATTACATACAAACTCATATATTTCAGATGTTTATTTTGTTTAATTTTGATGATTACAAATGACAACAAATGAAAATCTCAAATTCATCATATCAGAAAATTAGAATATTACTGAAGACCAATAAAAACAAAGGATTTATAGAAATGTTGGCCAACTGAAAAGTATGAACATGAAAAGTATGAGCATGTACAGCACTCAGTATTTAGTTGGGCCTCCTTTGGCCTGTATTACTGCAGCAATGCGGCGTGGCATGGAGTCGATCAGTCTGTGGCACTGCTCAGGTGTTATGATAGCCCAGGTTGCTCTAATAGTGGCTTTTAGCTCTTCTGAATTGTTGGGTCTGGTGTATTGCATCTTCTTCTTCACAATACCCCATAGATTTTCTATGGGGTTAAGGTCAGGAGAGTTTGCTGGCCAATTAAGAACAGGGATACCATGGTCCTTCAACCAGGTACTGGTAGCTTTGGCACTGTGTGCAGGTGCCAAGTCCTGTTGGAAAATGAAATCTGCATCTCCAAAAAGTTGGTCAGCTGCAGGAAGCATGAAGTGCTCTAAAACTTCCTGGTATGTGGCTGCGTTGACCCTGGACCTCAGAAAACACAATGGACCAACACCAGCAGATGACATGGCACCCCAAACCATCACTGACTGTGGAAACTTTACACTGGACTTCAAGCAACGTGGATGAAGTGCCTCTCTTCTTTTCCTCCAGACTCTGGGACCTTGATTTCCAAAGGAAATGCAAAATTTACTTTCATCAGAGAACATGACTTTGGACCACTCACCAGCAGTCCAGTCCTGTTTCTCTTTAGACGCTTCTGACGCTGTCTGTGGTTCAAGAGTGGCTTGACACAAGGAATGCGACAGCAGAAACCCATGTCTTTCATACGTCTGTGTGTGGTGGTTCTTGAAGCACTCACTCCAGCTGCAGTCCACTCTTTGTGAATCTCCCCCACATTTTTGAAGGGGTTTTGTTTCACAATCCTCTCCAGGGTGCGGTTATCTCTCTTGCTTGTACACTTTTTTCGACCACATCTTTTCCTTCCCTTCGCCTCTCTATTAATGTGCTTGGACACTGAGCTCTGTGAACAGCCAGCCTCTTTAGCGATGACCTTTTGTGTCTTGCCCTCCTTGTGCAAGGTGTCGATGGTCGTCTTTTGGACAACTGTCAAGTCAGCAGTCTTCCCCATGATTGTGTAGCCTATAGAACTAGACTGAAAGACCATTTAAAGGCTTTTGCAGGTGGTTTGAGTTAATTAGCTGATTAGAGTGTGGCACCAGGGGCCATCAATTTTGAACCTTTTCACAATATTCTAATTTTCTGATATGATGAATTTGAGATTTTCATTTGTTGTCATTTGTAATCATCAAAATTAAACAAAATAAACATCTGAAATATGAGTTTGTATGTAATGTATGAATATAATATACAAGTTTCACTTTTTAAATGGAATTACTGAAATCAATCTACTTTTTCATGATATTCTAATTTTATGACCAGCACCTGTATCTCGGCTTGTATGGTTCTAGTGTAGTTCTGGCTGAATGGATCTTGATCTGGCCCATAATTATTATTGTATTCATTCCATTTCTGAATACAAATATTGGTCAGAAATGACAGCTGATTAAACAGTTGGGGTTTTTAAAGCTGTTTTGTTTTCATCCATTTGTAAACCATCAATGTGTTGATTATATTTTATTACAATTTGTGGCTTAAAAAACATTTTAACTCTGGGAGAAAAAAAGCATTTATGGATGGATGGATGGATGGATTTATTTATTTAGATCCAGGTGAAGCCAAACAATATTTACAGACTAAGATTTTTTCCTTTTAAATTCTAAAAAGCTCATATCTTTTAGCTTAATTACTGTTCCGAGTGGGTTGATCTTTCAGCAGAGGGACCTTCTTGGAGTCTAAATACTAGTTAAAGTCGTAGGGTAATCATATTTATATGTCAAATCATTCTGGCTTAAACATGTAAATGAATGTACTCTTTATCAGACTATATTGTGCCAAAATTTAGAAAATTTCTATATATATATATATATATATAAAAAATCCTGTCTTAAAATCAGTTTTTTTATTTTTATTTATTTAATGCAGGTCAGTTAGTTATAGATCAGCCTGAAAGTCCTAAATTCAGCCAATCATGTCAACGGTCATCTGTCAATCTTTTTTTTTGGTCATAGCATCTTGATTCACATGTCGCAGCTAATATACGCTACGGTTTAAATAAGAAATCAGAATTATTTCCTTTCCCATTGAGTTCCGTCCCAGTGTTCACGGGGATGGACGTCTGTGTCTTCGGCAGGCATAGAGCTAACAGAACTGGCAGCGTTGTGAGGCAAGGGCTCAAACATGTACGGCTGAAAGCCTTCTACACCAAACCAAGCTTCTGCCGCCCTGGCGTCCTCTTCCACAACATCTTCGTCCCCGCTTTCCTCCTCTAAATAAAAAATGGATGACGGAGGAGACTCATCCACGACCTCCGACACTAAACTCTCCTCCTCTTGCATGTTTCCTCTGTCCATAGCGTTCCTTGACAGTGTCGTTTCTAAGTCACCAATTTAGTGCTACTTGGTCCCAATGGAATTTCCCATTGGGAACCTACTAGCACTAAGTTGCTAACTGGTTAGCAAGATGCTTCGGAGACACCGGCTACAACCAAACATGCTTCCGAACCTACCGCCACAACAATCCAGCCCCCTTGATAATCGACTAATCACATTCACTTTATTTGCTCGTGTAAAGACGTGCACCACCCGGGAGAATTTGGAAATGCAATGATAGGAATGGCTGCTTCCATACGAATTTAACGATTCAACATTTCAACATTACAGCCCAAATCTGTTATCATACTGCAACTGAAGCAACCTGTCTAGTCTGTGGGGTTTTTAAGGTGGAAAATGATGATAAAATAGTCTAAAAGGTTCCCAGTCAACAGAAATGATTACCAGAGCTGCATGTTTTCCATCCTCTCTGCTGCCATCATTCATAGGCAGAGACCATACTTCACTCTATGTAAATTAAATCCTGTATATAACATGGGGAAACAAAGTCATAAATATATGGTTATGTCTTATTGTTCTTCAATTTTTATTTGTGACTATAGCCATTAGCATCACTGCGTATAACAGCTGTCCCTCTGTGAATAGCTAATAAATATGAATATTTTCTACCTGGCTTAAAAGCCTTGCAACATTTGTGAATCCTTCGTTTCCATAAGGGATGAAAGTACAGCAGCTTGTTCAATCGATTTATTTCTGTGGTTTACAGAAGCTCTCATCTCCCCAGTAGAGCTGCAACGGTTGCCTGGAGTTACCTCCTAAATTCTTGCTACTGCAACAGTTTGACAGTTTTCCCCTCTTTACTCGTTGGTACAACAGAAATAAGAAATAGCTGTTTGTTTCCTAAAGTCATGCTGACATACTGGCAGTCCTCTAAACAGCAGCTGGACTAAACACCCCCCCCCCCCCCCCCCTTAAAGCTTATGTCTCAGCTTTAAGTAATCAGGCAGGTTTGACCAAAAAATACGTAGTTATATATTTATCCATTTAAAATCTCTGATGATATTAAATCCTTTCTCTATTGATAATTTACATCAGCATTTCTAAATACACATTTGGAGTATACTCCATAAATTGCAGGATCTTCTTTACTTTATCTTTGCCAGAAGATTTAAACTTTAAAAGCCTTGCCCTCATAATTTGGAAGTTAATTTATTTATAAAGAAAATATAAATGCTGCTTAAGCTAATTCAAATGAAATTAAAAGTAAAATAAGTAGCCAACCTTATCACTGTCTGTAACCTACTAACACGGTAAGGAAAGCATCAGATGAGCTACCTGAGAAACTAATATTACGTTTCCCCACTTTAAAACCAAACAAACATGGTCGCTCATCCTGCTGATCAGCTCTGTTCACTGCCATCGATGACTCCAATCCCGGCGCATGCGCGCTTCATTTGCAGTCTGGACGCTGAGGGTAAACATCCTGCTGTTCTGACTGCAGCGCTGAGAGGGACTCCTGCTGGAGAGGGAGAACGGGGTTGGGATGGGGGAGGCGCCCCACGGCAGCAGCTGCCAACGGCGGCGGATGAAGCATTAATCGCGTGACACAACTAATCGATGATGAAATTCATTGCCAACGCTTTTAAAAGTCGATTTTTATCGATTTTATCGATTCGTTGTTGCAGCCATAATATATATATATATATATATATATATATATATATATATATATATATATATATATATATATAGTTTTTTTTACAGTTTTACTTTTTTCAGTTTCTTTTTTTCAAATTTCTTTTTTCCAGATAATTTTTCAAACTGCATTCTTTTAAATTTTATTCGACAATAACATTCTCTGCACCTCAAGACCAATAAAAACAGTCACTCTTGAGGCGCACATTGACCAATGAAAATGTTTTTGTTAACGTCGTTGCAGACGATACAAATGCATCTTCACTCCTCATTCTAGAGCAGGGGTCGCAATCTATGGTTCCAGAGCTGCAAGTGGCTCTTTAGACACTGAACAAAGGCTCTTCATCACTTCTTAAAAAATAAATAAAAAATGCGTGTTTTAGCATTTTCTCCACTGTCCACACGAAGTCAAACCCTGGCCTAAACGCACAAATTTTTCACCAAACCAGCCTCTCATCCACACGAAGCCGGCGTTTCGGGGGTCTGTAAACGGTCTTTTTTTTTTATTCAGCCTTCAGAGTGGGAAGATTTTGAAACGCCGTTTTCGCGTTTCCATCTTTAAGCTCTAACAGCATTTTTTTTTTTTTTACACGCATGCGTCATAGCGTCGCCTCTAAACACGCATGCGCGACACAGTATCACAACAACAATGGCGCCGTACTGTGTTGAATGGTTGCTGCTCATGCTACTCACCCTGCTGTCGGGCTTACAACAGAATCTTCTTCTTCTGGAATATCTCCAGGAAGAACAGAGCAATATCGACGACATAGTTCAGCACCTGAATTTGACTGAACCACGAAAATGGACCCGCAGGGCACCATGTATAAATATTAGTGCGCATGCCCAACATTTCGTCGCCTATTTTTACTTTGGCACCACAGCGCCACTTACAGGCCTGGCATACATTTTGCAGCGTTTTCATGTATTCGTGTGGACGATCACATTTATTTTACGTCTCCGTTTTTACGACAAACGTTCTGGAAAATATTAGCGTTTCGTGTTGACGGGGCCTTATTGTATTCAATTTCATAAAACGGAAATATTTTTTAAGTAGAAAAACTTTTTTCAACATGATTTCCAAAAAATATCAGCAGCCCATTGAAAAATGCATTTATTCTGGTTTGGCAAGTTTTTTCGGCTTTAATTTAAAACCTAAAATTTTAAATGGTACAATGATGTTCAAAAAGGACAAATCTGGGGCGCGCTTTGGTGGTGCAGTGGTTAGTGCACCCGACCCATGCATGGAGGCCTTATTAGTCCTCGACTCGGGCGACCCGGGTTTGAATCTGGCCTGTGGTCCTTTTCCGCAGGTCTCTCCTCCTCTCTCATACCCCTTTCCTGTCAGCCTACTATCCGTAAAAACAAACCACTAGTGCAGTAAAAACAAACAAACAAACAAAAATTCTTTTGAGGTTCATATTTCCTGAAATCTTTTTCTTTATGTAAAAAAAAAAAAAAATTAAAAAAATCATGCAATATTTTGTGGCTCTAAACGAGTTTTATTCACTAGATACAAGTTGAAAATGGCTCTTTGGTCTGTAAAGGTTGCAGACCCCTGCTCTATAGGATATCCCACCCCAGAAGTGAACAGGATGTCTATTTGAAAAGAATGCACTTTGTAAAACTAAGTCTGAAAAAGATAAGAAATAAAGTAAATACAATTTGATATAAGAAAAGAATGAAATATGAAAAAAGTGTAAAAAAATATTAAATATTTAAAAAAAAAACTGCAACGTTTTTCTCAAAGCCTTTTTTGATCCAAGAAGTTTTTCAAAGTTTTGATTTCTAGATTTCTTACATTTTTCTTTAAATTTTAATTTTTCTGTTTGCAACAATAATGGAACATAATTCCCTCCATAGAATTCCCTCTGACCCAAACTTAGGCTGAGAGTAGAATCCATTAATACTTTGCTACATCAGAGTACATATAAACTTCATTATTTGAAACTCGGAGCAAACTCTTCTATCATGGTGCTTGGATTCACCAAAGCCTTTATTCCTAATTTGGCTTCAGACGTCCAAAACAAACAGCATCAGGCACTTTGTGGACATTTTAAACGATGATGGTCGTCATCTGTTTGCATGCACAGTAAACAGGAAACGTTGGATCCTCCGTCAGCCTCCTATTACTTTCTGTCTGTGCGTTTTACAGGATGACGTCTCCACGGCCCAGCCTGCTCAACTTCTCCCACGATGGGGTCATCTCGTCTCTGCAGAAGCCCATGGATCTGAAGCAGCTCAAACAGAGGGCTGCAGCTATCCCGCCTATTGTGAGTTGGTCTTCAGAGTTCTAGTGTGTATTTTCGTTTTATGTGCATGAACAGATGAGAGACTGTTGGTAAATCTCAGCCTTTGCTGCTTTGGGGTAGAAAAAAAAGAAGCTTTGACACAGGTTGTGTTCTGTAACTAAAAACAGCTCACTTCATCTCTGCAGTCATATCTGCTCTGTCCCCATTTCTAAACTAAAAGTGAAAAAAAAAATGGGACAGCAGGTGAAAATGTGAAGTCATATTTGTTTAAGATAAGGCAGCCAGATGGGCGATGATGGAGTAGATTACTTTGTGGAGCAGAAAGAAGATGCCAAGGATTAGGGAAACTTTAGCTCGTCAAGAAATAAGAGCTGAGTTTTTTTCCTATCGTGTTGATCAGATACTGTAAGCAGCCCCACCATATGGCAGCGCTCGCTAGGAGCTGGCTTGTGTTATGTGACTGGCATGTATGTAACTGTCTTGTTTCTGTGTTTCGGTTATGTGAAGATGCCAGAGGCCTCTGTGCAGGGCACGCAGCGGAGTGAGAGTGGGAAAGCAGCGCAGCCCCCCCACGCCTGGGCACTGTACCAGGAGCAGATCACCATGGCTCATGGGGAGTCCTCTCAGGAAGTCAAACAGCAGCAGCCTTCAGGCCAGGCAGGCAAACAGCAGCCTTATACCCCTCAGGCAGACCGAGAGCAAGAAGGTCTCCTCACCAGCAGCCCTCTGGTTCGCCCTCGAAGCCCCTCCGCCAGCCAAAAAGACGGTACAAAAAACCAAGCATTGCATTTCCATTATATTTTTAGAATGAACATTATTAATCATCTGCTCCAATTGGGCTGTGATGTGAGATTCTTATAGTATATATTTATATTTATTTTTTTTAATGGTTTTTATTCTGTGTTTTGATTTTGTTTCTGCAGTTGTTTTTAATTTTCGTACGGTGACCTTGAGTGTCCACAAAGGCGGCTTTTAAATAAAATGTTATATTATTAGTATGTTAACCTTGTAGGAAAGCAGCAGAGGTTCACACTGTCGACATGGAAAAACTGGCAAACAAAAATCTATAGCATTATTTCCTACCTTTTTCTTTTTCAGAAGGCTTTAACTTTGGATAAAAAATGATGAAGAACCAATAGGAATATAATATAATATACAGTATCTACATTCATTTTTGTTGGTCTTTTAATGCCGAAACAGATTTTAGGATCAATTGGGATCAAAGAATAAATTATATTTATAATGGATCTTTATTTTTTTTCTCTGCTCTTTATTGTATTTAACTCCAAAAATCACTGTTGGCTGTTTTTTGTTTTTTTTTTTGTTTTTTGGGCATCTGTTCCTGTAACCAGCCTGCAGACAGTGCTTAACATACATGCTGCTCTTAAGTAAGAAAAGTGTTACCTTAAAGAAACAACTGCAACAAATCAATCATAGACAATTTTTCCTAAAGTAAATCTAATTTCCCACGATTTTACCAAATATGTAAGATAATTTTCCATTGGATTAAAATCATGTAATTATAACTCTATTATCTTATTTCAAGGTCATAATAATATAATTTTTGTTTGAAATATTAGGCATTTTTATCAGCTCAAATTAAGGGATGATAAACGTTATTTTAAGATGGTTTTACTTATTTTTAGTTTAGTTTTGTACTACTTGACTAAGGGTGGGATTTTTGTTTTTATGGAAATAGCATTTGCATTGCTTAGAGGTGTCTGTTATATGTAATGCCCTTATTTAAGCCAGCTTACTGGCAGTACACAGCAAAAGAATGTAGGACAATAATTCATGCAACAAGATTGCGCTGCATCTCAAAAAAAGGATTTTAAACTGATAAACTGAAAAAAGTGCTTATTTGAGGTATTCATACAGTCATTTATAAATGTGTAAAAATGCTTAATAGAGAATAACTAGGAAGTAGAGGAGTGTTAAAGTCCTGCTCCACATCCAGCTCTGTGGCATTTGAACTACTTTCACTAAGTAGGTCTTTTTCTAGAGGGTCTGACCTTGAGTTTGTTCTTCAGAGTTTAGGGTCTTTATCGATATCTGGGACGCTCCTGGACAAGGGGGCGTGATAAATGATCTGGTAGCACCGCTGACCCAGAAGGGAATATTGTTTTATTCATTTTACAGTGAGCTTGGCGGGAGTGGTTCTCTGATGCACGGTTCAGATAAATTAAAGCATTTAACTGTACAGAGCAGCTGCATAAGCAAAGTTTCTGCAGGCTTTTGCAAAAAAGTCTTTAGTATTTTCATCTTATGCAATTATGTATGTGAATTTCTTTTTAATTTGGAATCATCTGCAAAATTTTCACCTGTAAAATTGCAGCAACAGAAAGTGTGACTTTCTGACAGTGGGCGTTACAACACCCTCCAAGTTGTGTAACCCACATAGGCTGGGTTCCCAAAAACGGTGAAAACGTTCCTCAGCGTGCAATAAACACGCTGAATTCCCACGGCAGCCCAACAACACCAGTTAAACGACAAGAGCTTCTTTGGAAGTAAGCCGTTAAAACGTTTAACTCATGTAATGAGAGCTAATGTTAATAAATCTCTGCCTGACGCGCTGGTGTGTCACATGATCAGATTGAGTGTGTCTGATTGGCTATAAGCTGCTGTACTTGCTCCAGTGCTTGTTACATCGTTGACATTAGCAAAGATGTGTATAAATAAAATAAAAAGAAGAATTTTATCTAAAAGGGAAACTGGTTTCGGTCGTAGGACAGAAGGATGGACGGAGGACTTGTTGGATTAGTCATAGTTCTTGTTTTATGTTGGTTCTAACTTCCTGCATGTATTGATGTTGCAGAAAGGTCCCGGGCGTTTTCTCCACACAGTGACGCCAAGAAGCAGGTGCTGGCCGCTGATGACCTCAGAACCTCCACCTTGGGTCGCCCGGTTCTGTCGCCATTCTCTCAGCACATGCTCCACTTCAACAGTGAGGAACCTTCTCTGTTTTGCTCCTGTTACTTTCATCCATGTAAAGAACCACAGCTGAGATTTAATGAGGTTTGTTGTCTTCCAGCGTTCCAACACCCGTCGCTCTCCGGCCTGCCGCAGGATAATGTACGGTTAGCAGCAGTGAGGCCCCTCTCAATGCCTGAGCCCCCCCCTCTTATTTCCTCCAACAAGCCAGGAGGCTCTATCACACAGGTAGATCAATTTGAAGGACAATGGAGGTGCTTATCTACTGTTATAGTTGATGTATTGTGCATTGATGACCAACTATTTGGATGTTCAGGGGACGCCTGTTCAGCTGCACAGTGCGGCCCACGGACTGGACCATACGAAGATCCCCCCCACACCAATGGGGATGTCTTGGATAGAGAAAAAAGTTGGTAAGTGAAACCCTCCGCTGTGTTTCACGTGTCTCTTCTTGTCACTGTGATCTTATTGACTCACCATTACCCAGCAGGTCCTTTCCCAGCGGTGAAGCAGGAGCAGTTGTCTCCTCACAGCTCCTCCCAGGCTGATGACCTGTCAAACCCGGGGCCGCCTCACGACAGTTCCTCTGCACGTGGTGGGTGCATGTTCCTCCTCTCCATTATCATGTAGCCACACAGATTGGACCAAGAGTTATGGTTTTATTCTTGAGTCGGGACCGGAAACGTTTGGAAAATAAAAACAATCTGAATGGTTTTGTTCACGTTTCGGCTAATGAAAAAACACCGTCAGTATATGTCAGAGGTCAGGAATTACTGGACCGGGGGTCTGGATCCGGACCCACCTGCTGGCTAATCCGGACCCAACCTGATCTAAAACTTTTTTCTTTATTCGGATCCTGCTGATTTTTTATTGATATTTGTCGACGGTATTCCTCTTCTAAAATATCATTTAGAAGTTAAATGATTGCAGGTCTCTGGCCAATCACATATAATGATCTTTTAAAAATGCCGATTCATATTTTGACTGATGCAAATTTTTATTATTTTTTTTATTATAACTGATTTCAGTTGGTATAAGATCATAAGACGCCTTCTATTTTCAATCTTATCCTACAGAAAAACATTGAACAATACCTGTGAAACATTACAAACCTCTGTCGCCCATCAGGTCCTAATTTTCGATATAAATGCAAAGTTTAGAACGTTGACAGCTGGTGATTGTCAGAAATGTTGCATTGCTAGATAAGATTGGTTTCACAGCTAAAGTATCGGCCGATCAAAGATCTAAAAGCGGAAACAAATACCCCAACACACAACTGGGGGATGTTTAACTGAAATAGAAACTTGTTATTTATCCGTCTAAAAAGGTGAGGAAATGTAAATAACACGGGTCATCATCGGCCCAAAATTTCATATCAGTGCGTCTCTAGTTTTTGCCTTAAATCAGGAAATTAATGGTTAAAAGTGATGCTTAAAATATAAAAGAAATAACCAACATTTTTATCTGTATTTGATTTGTTTTTATATATTTGTCCCTTAAGGTGCTCTTTAAAAAAGTTTAAGCTTTTAATTTTCTAGTAAATACATCATTAAGTCTTTTTTGTATTTATTAATATAAATTAAATCTCCTTTATTTGAACATTTTTAAACATTAACCTTTATCAGGTAAAATGTGCATTGGTGGGTCAAAGCTTCAGCCTCACTGCCTCTGATTGGTTCATCTCTACATATAAATACAAGCCACAGGCTCTTCGGTGCACAGATGTTTCGACTCTTTCTGCTCCGTATCATTTCTGTAGGCGTTAGAGTCTTAAGATCTTTATCTTGTGTTGCAGCCGTCCAAGGAGGAAGCATCACTAAGGGTCTACCTGGGACCAGAATACACCCGGAGTCTGCGGTGGCCTACCGGCCGGGCTCCATCACACAGGTGAGCTTATCTTTTAAAGCCCTGTTATCATGTTGTACACATCTTCATTGATTAATAGTAACAGGGATATTTTAAGCAAATTTTAAACTTATGCATTTTGCTATTTTTTTTTTTTACTTGTGTTCCCTATTATATATATATTTTTTACCATGATGAAGTCAGTGGCACTCGGTGCTGAAAGCTACAAACCTCATGGCTCTTAAATTGTGCTGACACAGTAGTAAGAGTTTTTTTTTTTTTTTTTTGACAGACAGTTGTCAGCTCTCTTCCTCTTTCTGGAAACCTCTCAACATTATCTGAAATGTGTTAAAAAGCGATCTGAAAAAGAGGGTAACCCGTTGCGTTATACTTCTAACCCCATTAGTTCCTCGACTCTGCAGCTCAGGGAAACGCTTCTGAGGTTAATGTGATTTACCAGAGAACGGAGACGTACAGTCAGCAGGAATTGAAACCAACACTGTAAAACCGTGTCAAAGTTCATGCCACAGACGCGCTGTGCCAGCCCCCCCACATCCTGATGCAGGCTTTGCCCTCTGAACACACTAGACTAAACCGCCGTCCTCAAACATGCAGAGACTTTTCTGTGTTTAACATTTGTTCTTGTGATGTAAGAGCAAAAGAAGAGAACCGGGAAGAGGTCAAACTGCAAACCGTGTGCGGCGGCTGCTGGATTGCCGCCTTGCTCTGACATAACAGCTCTGAATGGATCCGTAGCCGTAGCAACGGGTACACGCTCTGCCGCATCTGTTCCCTCTGTTATTTATCCGCGGAGCTCAGATGCTGGCTCCACCCAGTTGCCGGTGTACACGTTCCAGTTTGCCATCAAACTGGCACAGGTAGAGGAAAACAAGAGAAAAGGGAATGTTTGTCTTATTTGGCTTGACGCTGGACGGGTTGATAGGTGGAGGACCGTGATTAAGGTTTCTGAGGACTGTTTTAGTCCTTACTATCTGGTAAACAGACACCCATCCCCTCGCCCCCTCTTTTGGTAAACACTTCTTGGAAAAGCTGCAGCCGTTGGATTACAGCTCCTCTCCCAGTAACTGCCGTCTCTTATTTTCACCATCCACACATGCAGTCATCTCTTGACCAATTGGAACGGGCAGAAATATGACTCACGCCAAGTAAAACTGATGGTATTTAAGGTTTATACCATGAATGTTAATCTTCTACTCTTTCAGATGGTTTCACCTTTGCTTCATTTAGAAGTCAAGCTTTACCTCAGAGGTGTCTCTGTGTTAATTTGCTTTTTTTCCAACTGTATACCTTGTGTGGTTAAATTTTGCTGTAGGCAAAAAGGCAAAGCTGTAGAAGTATTTCAGATGGTGCTATGCTGTTTCATGGGCATGCATATTTCATAGATGTGTGTAATGTAGACTATGTTTAGCAACGTTTCAGCTGGCTGTCGCATTAGGATGTACATGGTAGGCATCTTATTCCTCTCGCTTTTAAAGCCCATCTTCACTACTGGTAATGGAGATACTCTGTTAGGAACTGTGTGGCTAATATCTGATCTCTTTCTATACGAGAATAAAAAGATATAAGAAAATAAAATCTTTTTCTAGCCTTTTACCCATAAGAATAGTTGTATTTAATACAATGTAGTTTACTATTATTGTATTTAAACTGTCTAATTTTTAAAATGGTCTTTAGTTTCTTATATTAGTGCAGATAGCAATAGTTAAATCCTAGTAATTGTGTTAGTTAGATCCTTAACTCTGAGATCCAAAATACTGGAAATGCAAAAGGTTTCCTAATTGCAGGTGCAGGGCGCCATCTTTTTTACAATACATATACAAAGTTGATTATTCTTCTGAATTTTTATTTTATCTCTTCTGTTAAATAATTTAATTTAAAGACTTAAACACAATCAAGTTTTAGTTTTTGTTCTAATTTTAATCGTTATTTACATATCCGACCCCTGACTGCTGTTTGTAGAGATGTTTAAATACTTTTCTTTATAGGATTGTCACAATAAAAATAAAAAAAAAGTCGATACCCGGGAAAATGTTTGATACTTGATACCATTTTCTATACCGTTAAGATAAAAAATTAATGGATAAAAACTCTCCTTTTTTATCTTAGTATAGAACATGCTTTATCATCAGAATCCCAGATGGTATTTCAATAAATGCAAAATAAATACTACAGATTGACTTTATTTTATGTAATGAATTTTTATTTTTTAATTTGCTAATAATCCTAACATCTAAAAAAAAAAAAAAAAAAAAGACCATTGCAAAAAATATTAAAACAGCACTTCCCTTTAATACCGATACAATGCCAAATTAGCAAGGTGTCAGGATTCAGCATTTAACGGTAACGTTATTTTTGACCACTTTCGTTGTTGTTAAACTCAAAAATAAATAAAAAATCACTTCCTTCTCTGGTATATCTCGGGCTTGCATTGCCTCTTTTTCTGTCCAGGACTCATCTGGGGCCACCCACACCTGCTATTAAGCAGGGGTTGATGTTAAGGATTTTATAGTTTCAGAATTCCCTGACTTTTAACTGACTCAGGAATAGTTTTCCCTGACAAAATAAATGCAGCAACAAGACAATAATAATAACATAACAGGACACCAATTTAACATATTTAGCTCTATAACATTTAAATGCACCTTTCCAATGTCTAAGAGAAAAAAATTAAATGACCATTGTTTAATGTATGACCTTAATTTCATTGCACCGGGCAAGTGCAATGAAATTTGTACTCTCCCAACAATAAAAGCTACTTGCCCCGGGCGATCGGGCGATGGTTAACATCGAGCCCTGTTAAGCATCTTTTACTTCTGAACAATCTTTGTGAATCCTTTATACATGAGCATGCTCATTAGGGATGGAACGGTTTATGAAAACCGTCCGAACCGTTCGGCTCGACTGTCTCTGTTCGGTTCGCGTGTGTTGTGTTCGGTTCATGCGCTGCTCCTTTTTCTCATAGACAAAGCGTTTACACTCCAGAGCAGAAGGTGGCGGTACTGCGACCAAAACCAACCACCAGTAGTAAACAAGAAGAAGAAGCGAAGCAGCGTAGGGGGAAAAAAAATCAGTTGTTGTGGAGAATTGTGTGGGTATGGCGAGTGGGAAAGAACAGGAGTTGGAAGACGCGCCAGCAGCACTTTATAGGTCTGCTGTATGGGACCACTTTGCATTTAGAGTGACCTACGATGACGGCGGAAAGAAAGTTGTGGATAAAAGTGCAACAGTGTGCAAGCATTGTGCAACACGTTTTGTTTATGCTAACAGCAACACGACCAACATGTCAGGCTAGCAATCAACATATACCGAACTGAAAACTGTGACCACGAAACCGTGAACCGAACCGAACCGTGGAATTTGTGAACCGCTCCACCCCAAATGCTCATGTATACATAACACAGACGTTTTTTCCAGGTGTTCATGGATACACGCTAATAATAAATACTAAGCTGCAGCTACAGATATATACCACCCTTAATAATAGTGCGTAATCACCATAGTTTTATTTTTCTTCCACACACGGATATCTAAGAGATACCTGCTGCTCTGGAAGCTTTTTTTTTTTTTAGTTTGCTTTGGTTGTCTGTTGTTCTCTGTTTGTTGTTACGCTCTCTGTTTTCTGTCCCTCATGTCTCATACAGACTTGGAACTAGACTTCTAGGAATTGATGTATTTCCTCTGTAGTCTATATTTTTTGCTGTTATGTTTTATTTCCTCTTTTCATGCATGCTTTCCTTTCTATCCTCTTCTATCTCCCCTTAGCTCTTATCCCCTTTTTCTTTCCCACCTCCCTCTTTGTCTCTGTTGTATATGATTTTACTCCCTTAATAATTTCCAATAAAGTTTCATATAAAAGTACCAAGTAGAACCTTATCATCCAGCTTTGGGAAGTATAGTCCCAGAGCTACATCTGCAAAGCAGGGCACAAAAATCGTGATCTTCACCTGTCGGAGGGGTGAAAAAAGTGAAGAAAAATCAAAATAAAACAATTGGACTCAATTAAAGAAACAATTTAACTATTCGGGTTTTTTTTTCATGCCTTACTTCTTCTCTCATTATCTCAGGGGACACCCGCAGATGTGCTGTATAGAGAAACTATATCACGTCTGATCTCAGAGGACAGATCCGGCCAAGGCGACAGGGAGCGGGACGAGGCACCGGCTAAAGGACAGGTCCTCTACGAGGGCGTCAGCGGGCAAATTGTCAGCTATGACCGTGAGTTCATGAGCTCTACCTAATATCCATTTACTAGGCGTTGAATTGCTCCTAGAAAACTGCATCCGTCTGAATGAACATTACAGCGCCGCCATCTCAGACTCCCAAAGAAGACAGCCGAGGTTCAGGACTGTCTGGAGAAATTCTGAGCCTGAAGCGGTCTTATGATGCCATGGAAGGAGGCCGAGGGCTGCCGATGAGAGACTCCATGTCTGCTGCCAACTGTGAAGGTCAGAGCGGACCTGATTAAACACCTCATTTCCTTAATGAGATACAGTATGACTGTATCCTGTTTAGGCAGACCTCAATCTGAGCCAAACATGGTTTTATCAAAGAAATAGCCTTTTCTTTCATCATATCCGTGTCTCAGGTCTGGTCGGTCGTGCCATGCCTTATGACAGAGACAGCCCACATCGCACACCGTACAAAGATGCTCATCATATCCGTGGCTCCATCTCACAAGGTATAATTCTTTAAGGCGTATTAAAAAGGTGTGACCCACAGCTTAGTTGTTCACATGAAACTGGCATTAATGCACCCTCCTGATTTCAGGTATACCTCGCCATCTAGACGCCCAGGATGCCTACATGAGGAGGGAAGCTAAGCAGATAAGGCGAGAGGCCTCCCCAACACGTGGCCCTGGTTCTCTTTCTGACCCGATGAAAGGCAGGGAGACCATTGTGCCCACAGTGAAGGAGGCCGGACGCTCCATACACCTCATTCCAAGAGATGAGCTCAGACAATCTGCCAAGGAGGGCAGCATATCACAGGTGAGCTCTTTATTACAAATTCACCAGCTGTCCATCGGCTTTGGCGATAATCGGATCAACCAAAACACAAAAGTCCCTGAGTTTTTTAGGTTTGGTCTATGAACACACCGTTAGAACTCAAAACGAACCCCCGGCCACTGACTAAATCATGGCCAATTGTTACACAGATTTATCGCCCCCATCTTTAAGAATAAAGTCAAGATTATACTAGGTGGAGATTTTTTTTTTTTCATCTACTGGATCCAGAAGTTAAGTCTGACTGAATAATGGGTGGAAATGTAAACAAAAACATCCCTGTTATTGAAGTAGGACCTTTTTGACAAACTCTGAAACAGTTTCATAGAGGGAAAACAATTCTTCCTAGCTGAACATCCCCAGCTTTTAATTTGATTTCAGGTAATTTAATTTCACACAGTGAGCAGTGGCTAAAGTAACCGCTGATTAATGGTGTGTAACCTCCGGTTGGGAAATTTCAGCTGGATTTGTAAGAAATGTTTCAAGACTAAATTAGACTTATACTTGCAGGGTGGATTTTGCCTTGTCTTGAACAATCTTTCAATGGAATAGGAGCATTTATATATAAAATAAAATAAAAAAACACCCTAATATCAAATTTCAAAAGTGCACTATTTTACATTACTGGCAGAAATACTCCTCCAATTTTCAAATCATCTTATTTATCTTGACTAATTAGGGGTTACACACTATTTTAAAATATGTTTTCAGTTACTTTTAGATCAGTTTAAACTAGGGCTGGGCAAATTATTGCATTTGCAATATAATTTAACAAAACACAATCAAATCACATATTTTCACAATCGAGTAGGACTCTAAATTTCTCCCTCCAGCCTTTTAGGTGGTGGTTAAATGCTTGAAGTGGGTTTGTCGCCACACAGAAAGCTAGAGAGAGTGGTAGCTAGCTCACAGATCCATGTATGCAAGAAGAAATGATCACTTTTTCGCCTAATGATTACAACGAAGTCCTGCAACAATGAATGCTGGGCAAGCAAGTTCTCAAAACCCGAAAGACTCGGGCGAAACGTCTACAAGCCTGGGGTTGGTGCAAAGGAAAATCAAGAAGAAAAACGCAACCTTGGGGAAAAATAATCACAATTTAGATTTTTGGCAAAAATGTTTAGCCCTAGTTTGAACAGTGATTATAAGTGTTGAAGCACAACGATGTCCAGCATTCTGGATGGATGCTTCTCACATCAACAGTTGCTACACTTGGACCGTTCTAATCTATGGAAATTTAGTCAGTCTTATGCTACGTTCAGAAGGCAAGCAGCAGGAGCAGCAAAAACGCAACTTTAGTTCTGACTTGGGCTAAAAAATCTCTGCTGCTCCAGCTGCACCGTCGAAGTAGGTCTGCTGCACGTTTGGTGGATCTACCCGATCCCTTCTTTGCCTGTAACAATGGAAGCTAGATTTGCTGTCATCAGTGGGTAAAAACTAGCTTTAATATGTTTTGAAGTCAGAAAGTCCACCTGAAAATTTCATCAGTGCAGTAAGTTCATCCAGATTACCATCCTGCCTTCAAATATTATTTTACTTTCGGAGCTCAGACCCCCGTACACCGGCGCTGCTCTGTCACTGGGAATCCCCTTCAACAGCAGCCTTTGGCCCGGTCACCTCTTCGCGGTTTGCTGCTACTATTCACGGCAGCTGAAAGTAGATGTTAGCGTTTTTCGTGTACGTAATCCAAACTGCAGGCACCAGAATAATAAAATCGAACATGTGCTGCCAGCAGATTTTGGCACTTTAAGTTAATTTAGAAGTTAATAAACTGTTTCAGAGGGGTGGCCATAGTGATCTGCATCAGCAGTGCTGTGTCTGTCTCCCTACCAGCTCCAAGATCAGCTTCTCTGATTGGTTGATGTGACGCGTTGAGCAGCTAAAGTTAAATTTTTCCAACTCCAGCAGCTGCTGCTTTCGCAGTGCATCCAGCGCCTCAGAAGCTCATGACTCGCTGCCCCTGCTGCTCCAAATGCGCTGCGGGACGTTTTGTTGCCCCTTGATGCACCTAAACCATTGACTTTGCATGTAAACTAGCTGCTTCTGCTGCTTCTGCTGCTTTAGGTTTGAACGTTACGCCTCATGCTTCTCACCAATTATAAGATCAGATGTTTCAGCTCTTTTATATGGACATAATACCCAAGAATAAGGTATGAACAATAGGGCTGGCTATTGTTAAAAAATTTTCGGTTCCGGTACCAATACCGATACCTTCACTTCGATACCGGTTCCTGAACGATACTTTTTTCGATACCAGTTTTATAATATCAATTCGAAGAAAAAGAAAATTACACAACATAAAAAAGTACAAATCTTGAGTTTTATTTTAAGCTCTGATTTTTCCATTAACATTTTTCCTCTTACAAAAAAAAATAAAAATTCAGTGTCTAATATTCACTGTTACATTGTGAGGACCTTTTTACTTAGCAGTTTTCCTTTAGAAAAATTACCATGTCTGACAAATAAGCCCGTTGAATGGGCTTGAATCCTACTGACAGCGCACCGCTGGTATGTGGTGGTCTGAGCGGCTCCCACAGAAATATTGGAAGGCCGGATGAACTGACTGCACTGATTAAGTTTTCATGTGGACTTTCTCACTTAAAGACATAATAAAACTACTTTATTCCCACTGATCACAGCAAATGTAGCTGCAAGGCAAATAAAAGATAGAGTAGCTCCGCCCAACGTGCGTCAGAGCCACTCTTCGACTGCGCAGCCAGAGCAGCAAAGCTTCTTCAGCCGTGCGTCAGAAGCTGGTACAAGCAGCAAAAAGGAAGCAGCAGACGCGATTTTGCTGCTTTTGCTGCGTCCAGTTTGAAAGCAGCATGATTTACTCCGCTCTGGCTTTGCTCTGCCCATGGGCTGCTGAGAGGAGGATGGTTGCGCTGGCTGCGGTCCGCTCTTCTTGCAGTCAAACACCGAGCAACTTTCTGCTCTTAAATTGTTTCCGTGCACGATGTATTGCATTGCGCACTATTGGCATCTATAAAGTGAAGCCGCACTTTGGACCTGGGGGGCATTTTAAAGGGGTTCCACGACGCTCGCAACCAGTTCACAACAGATACACATGAACCCTGGCTGTAGGCGGGACCACCTGTGTATTTTTCCTGGATGACGCAATCACGTTTAGTGTTACAGCCAATCACCGAAACTTGGTACCGAAAGACGAGGCATGTTTCGATACCCTGTAGAACCGAAGCATCTCGGCCGGTACCATAAAAGAACCGAAGTTCGGTACCCAGCCCTAATGAAAAACGAATGATGAGAAATACCAGGGTCCAAAAGCGGGATAAATACTGTTTGGTGTTTGTCCGTGCTTAAGATATATTAAAAATGTATCAAATGTAACGGGGATTTTCTGTTTTTTAGATATTTTTGAGAAACAATTTTTGGGGGAAATGATTGCTGGATGCTCTGGGGGAGATTTATTCCACCTCCTCTGTTAGTTATGGTTTGTTTATGGAAAAGTTGGGATTCAACAAGAAATGAGAGGCTTGCAGTTTTAAAGCAAACCAAGAAGCTGCATTTTCTTATGATCTTGTTGTGTCTGTCTGCAGGGAACAGCTGTAAAGCAGGACCCCGGCGGTTCGGGGAAACGCCACGATGTCCGCTCCATTATAGCCCCGCCCTATCACAGCCCGACCCCCCACCTGGAGATGCGTCCCGACAGGAGCCGGTATGAAGAAGGACATAAGGGTCGGCCTAGCGCAGTGGTCAGCATAGCTAGCCCCATACCGCGCTCCTCCCCGCTCACTCTGGCGTCAGAGCAGGGAGGCAAAGCCCATCAAAGCCTGATGGGTTATGAGGAGAAAGGTGCTATTAGGACCCCTTATAGCAGCTCACACCGTGGATCCCCTCTGCCCCGGGAGGCAAGGCAGCATGATGGTGCGTTTATCAAACACATGGAGCATTCTTAGTCCATCCCCTTGTTTTTAGCATTGGGATAACTTAAGTTTGTCTTTCCTGTGATTCAGGGTCTGGAAAGAATTCCTCTCAGGAGCGTAAAGCCACACCGATTCCCAGAGAGATGAGGGCCACCAAGTCGCCTCTCACCTCCGTGGCAGATCAGCAGGCCTATGAGCGGCTGATCCCTGGCCTGGCAGCTTCAGACATGTACCGCATCCCCCTAACCTTCGATCCTGCAGCGCTGCCTCGAGGTATCGCCATCGACCCAGGTACATCCAGAGGAAAGATTACCACACCATAGCTCAGCTTTGATTTTAACCCCACGAACGCAGTTAAAACAACTCATCTTTAGAGATGTGATCACTAATGCTTGTTCATTATTTGCTTTTAACAAACATATTTAGTTTTTTGTAAATTTTCCAAACAGATTTTCATTATATTTTTTTAACTTTTATAGATTTTGTTTTGTCACTAACTTCAAACTTAAGTAAAAACAGCATCCAGGGTCACAGACTTGTGAGCTAGGATCTGCTCTATTTCTAGAGTTCCCGCGAGTCCTTAAAAAGTCTTAAAAGGCATTGAATTCTTCAAAATAAACTAAGGCCTTAATTGGTATTAAAATGTCTTAAATTAGTCTTTAGTAGGTCTTAATTTAAAAAAAACATCATAAATAGGATTTTTTTTATTACGATTTATTTTTGTAATCTAAATAAAACGTTAAAATTGGCAATTATTTTTTTTTTGTATTAAAAAAAAATGGCTCGCCATTATTGGTTCCGTCCCGATAGCGGAACCAATAAAGCGTTGTTGCAGCCGGGACATATTTTTTGTCTGGAAAATATGAGCAAGTGTAAATGTAATGATAATTGTCTCCAGCCAAGAGTTTTCTCCATGGCTAAAACCAGGGAACATACATGAGGCTCAGTGGATTTTGTGCAAGAAGTGATTCAAGCTCGGAACGATGGGAATTAAGGCAGTGGAGTCGCACATGCGAAGCACGAAACACAAAGCGTGAAAATCGAGTTACAGAGAAACAGCCTGTATTTCTCAGTTTAGTTCCACCCTTGTCTCTGCAACGCCTCCACTTATCACCAAATCAAACATACTAAGAAAACCATACAAAGAAAAAAAGACTTAGCACTGGTTATGTTGGGGCTTTAAAACTGATTTGTTTTGTTCCCTGCTAAAACAAAGTTTGTGAATTAAGTTAAATAATTGTTCAAATATATCTGTCATTTGTGTGTTTTTAGCTTTCTTCCTGTTTGGGAAGCTTTTCAAAATGTGAAACATTAGTGCAGTGGTTTATGTTAAAATAAACCTTTGGGTTAAGTTGTCGCAAGCAGGTTTTTCTTGTGTTTCTTGTAAATTTGGTCTTAAATTTTTATTTCAAGTGGCATTAAAAAGTCTTTAACTTGCCTTATGTTGTAGGAACCCTGATTTGACTCTCGTCAAATAAGATCCAAAGTTGACCTTTTTTGCTCTCCATACAAAGTGGTATTCCATCACCTTGAAAGATGTGCTGCTTATTTTTGATTAGGGGCCAGAAAAAACTCAGAGATGATCAGTAGATGGATCTTACCAGCCCTCCTACAGGATCTTTGAGAGAACCTGTTGGAGGGCTGCTAACGGCCTGAGACTGGGGCGGACGTTTGCCTTCTAGCAGGAGAGCAACCCTGAACAGAATAACTAAATCCCTTAAAGCTTCAGAGGCATTACTTGAATTTCAATGTTCAAAAAGGTCCTCAGTTTGACTAAAACATGAGCTGAATCACATTGGACAAGATGTTTCCATAAAGCAGCAGAAGGTGACCCTATAACAACTGGCCTTTGTTTCGCCTTACTTTTTGTCAGTTACTAAAACTCTGGTCACCTTAAACATGTAGATGGAGCTGGACGTGTAAGTGATATGCATTTATGGTGTGTGGCTTTGAAGGACCTATATTTTCTGTCTTTTCTT